CTCTATCTGGTCATAGAGGTGATGCTGGTACTTAGAGGTCATAGAGGTCATAGAGTCTATCAGCTTCTGGTACTTCGCAGGTTCAGAGGAGATCCTTTTCTTCTCCCAAGCCAGCAGCCAGCAGCCAGCACTGCAGATCTAAGGCTCCTATTCTAAGCCGTCCTTTCTCTCCGGTTGCACCACGCGGAGAAGAACGTGTTCGGCGGGTTTTGGCATGCACTGGCAGCTTGCTGAAAATCGAAGACTGAATTGGTACACATGTGGGCTTGGTAAACAACACAAGCATTCCCGAACTCTTTATTGTGCCATGGCATCAGTAAAGTTAATGTTGAAGCTTGCAAAGCTTTCAGCCTTATGTTTGCGTGGAAGTCTATGCATAGAACCTCATGACAAAGCACCCTTTGACTGCAGACACAGAGGGTTGAGACTCAGACAAAACGGGTTGAAGCGTGGCGTGTTTGCGCGCTGAGCACTGAAGGACGGGCTTCCGCTGTGAAGAAATTGTTGACGTGCCGCAAGCTGTTTGAGAACATGTTCAAGGAGTGGCTGCTTCGCCAAGTTTACCTAGGAGTTCAAGGAGTGGCTGCTTCCCATCCGCGCGATACTGTTTCAGGTTTACCTCTATGGTGTTTTCCTATACATTCCATGGCCATGGATGGATCATCCATTGGTGCCATCGATGCCGCTGCTTCACTTCACTCGGGCTTCACTGAATCGATCCCTTCGCCCCGGCGCTGATCCTCCGCGACCGAGAACGACTGAGAGATGCTGGGTGCTCGATCAATGACTTGGAATGACTGGGACGGCTTGGAAGCAAAGCCCACATGGACTCCAACAATGATGGAGCCAGTTGGGCCATGTCGTGAGGACATCAGCAAGGTGGTGATCTCCGTGATCAAAGAGGTCATTCTGAACCGACTCTGAACCGCTCGCAAAAAAGATCTGAAAAAGACGCCATGGCGCTTCAGCCTGGTGTGGTGCTGCGAGGCTGCGAGGCCCTGCAGAAAAAGGGCATATAGGGTGCTGCACTGCACCACATGTAGATCTCCACAGTTTTTTGACGCTTCGGCAGAGGAATTGATTAATGCTTTGGAAGAACCACCCTGTCATTGCATATGCCATATGCATTCACCTTCGCTGTTTCGGTTCCAAAGCCGCTTCTGGATACAGGAAGGGCTCCCTGATCCGATCAATCACGACGCTCCACGCCCCAAAGTGAGCATGATCGATTGGGGTAATTAGGCGTTGAACACTGATTGACAGATGCGCGGGTGGTTCATGGAACACATCGCTGCAATGCAGGATTTCTTTAAGCATTTCATAATCATATGCACACATAGATAGATATATTATTAAATGTAGATGTTATATAGCTTTGTAGAAAACAAATCAGGGCAAGAGCACTCCCTGCGCCTCCAGCGCTGTGACTTCGTCGATTTTGAGCCATGTCATCCCATAAGTGGAGGACCGAAACAACCTTCGCGGCTCTTGGGTTGGGACCCTGGGAGAGCTTCCCAAAATAGATACATGTGGACAACCTGCTCTTCGTTGGTGTGTCTCTTGAAATTTCAATCTATGTGACTCATTTGTGAATCACCTGCCGCGCTCTGTGCAGAGCAAGTGCGCTTTGGTGCTACTGAATAGGGCACTTGGCCAAAGGTTGGCCACAGTCTTTGGGACTCGGGGGTGAAAGGGGTCTTCTGCGTCCCAGGGGGGACTCAGGGGTTTGACTCAGGGGTCCCCGGTTCATGCATGATTGATTTACCTTCTTGAGTTGCCGGTGACTCAGGGGTTCCACGACATCCGCCTCCGCAGCCTCCGCACACCTTGGACGCCTGACTCGAGACACCGAGACACGCTGAAATCGAACAAAACGACCCGAGATACCTGTCTATAGCTGGCAGCAGCGGTTAACTCGCGTGTTGGACCGAGTTGAGCTCCAGCCGTTTGAGGCTGTTAGTCTTAATGATGTTCTATGATGTTCTGGAGGGTTTTTGTGCTTTTAGACTTATTGTTACAGTCAATTGTGACATGATTTGTCAGGTGTACTATTATGTATTGATTTTGCCAGTGATTATTTCAGCACTTAGTTGGGCCCAAGAAGAGAACATAAGTGGCACATCAAGGCATACAATACATGATAAAGTGATTTGGATGCTACTTAAAGTGTCTCCTGTCTACCGAATAGTTTCATACAAAATAGACTTCGGATGCTGACCCACTTTAGACATACTAAAACACTTGCTTTACCCAGTCATGTGCCACCTTTTGGCATGCGCGATTTGTTGCCAGGATGGTAGAACAACGGCTGATCCGGGAGCGGCTCCAAGAAGCCCGCTGTGATGCGATCAATGGGATGCTGAAAGAGTGGGGAGCCCCGGGTCGTCGCGGCCGTCGGTTCGGGCTGCCCGGGCAATGCCAACGACGTCGATTCGTGCCATTTCGGGCGCACTCCTATGTCTAGTCTAGCTCGTTCTGTTCAGAAAAATACGTAGAAAGACGTGAATCATTTGCGGGTTGTAGAGGACATGGTCAAAAGTTCCCAAAAGGATGTTCTCTAGCAGTCTAGCACATACAACGCCTGGTTTGGGGTCCCACTGTGTTATCCATCGCGCCAACTTCACAATATGATATGGTTTCCCGAGGTGAATTTGCCTCACAACTGTTGCATTTTTGCTGGCCTGTTTCTACCTGGTTGATTTGCAACTCTGCTCAGTCAGAATGTTGCTTGTATTTGCGCGGCGCGAACTGCCCAAAAACTGTGATTGGAGGGAAGCCAATTTCTGCCTGCATGGTTCCCAGTGCTCGTGACGAGGCAGTGCCGCCAGGCGACGTACGCTGAATGCGACGTGCGAGTGGAGGCCCACCAGTGGATTGTGTGATGGTTCTTTGAGTGGCAGCAGTCCTATGCATGGTCTAGAATACCGTAAAGAAAAACCATTTATGCGTATACCTTTAAATGGAGCTCACAAGGTCCAGCAGATATGGCAGGTTCTAATAGTATCTATGATAGAATAACACGGTTATATACGGTTTCACATGTGCGAGCCCAAACACAGCACGAGCACCCAGGACTCCTAGGACAGGCGTGAGAAAGAAAAAACAGAACAATGGAGGGAGAGTAGAGGTGCGGGGTCTCCTGGCTGTTTCACTTGGCAGAACTGGAGGTTCCAGAACTGGTGGCGAATGCAGTTCCAAAGACCTGGCGAGCACAGGGATACTCTGCATGCAGCAGTTTCATTTATATATGAGGAACCTCTTTTATTTGCGGTAGTCATATAGCCCAATGTCAGATTTAGTTAGCGAAACGAGGTAGGAACACCCCGAGAACGAGATGGGCATCAATTGCGCCATTTGTTTGAAATGGTCTAGATAATGACATGTTTCGAGGTAGGAACACCTCTCGAGAACGAGATGGGTATCCATTGCACCAAATAGATACAGGAATGGAGAACGAGATTACACCCCAAAAACGATGCGAGATTGGAGAACGAGGTAAGGAAGGCCCATGTGATAACTTAACGGAAATATGTTCCATCGCTCATATATATATATATGAGGAGTGAGCCACCGGTGAGTAGGGTCAGAAATGCAAGAATGATTCCAATCAATTGCTGGGAGTTGGACAAGTCATTGGTGAACGCTTTAGACTTTTGAGTATAGGTTTTAGACATCACTCAGACATGTACGATACAGATCAGGAGACCACAACAGCGCACGGCTTGTGTTGGATGCAGTTTGTCCTTGTGTTTGGTTCCTTCTCCACTTCCTCACCTCGGTTGGGTGTTCATTAAACTCAAGTATAATAATCCACAATCAAACTACCCTTCCAGTACGAGAATGATAGGAAGAAAGGTGTCAGTGAACCCGGATTTCGCCCAGGCTTTTCAGGATCAGAATACCACTTGTTTGGTAGGTGATTTTGCGGCGATTAGCTTTCGGTACTGGGCCACGTACCATGGCTCAAGAGGGATATATTGTTTCTACTCAAAGCAGTAATCCTTCAAACAAAGAACAAAGCACATCATTTTGCTGCAACAAATTGCTAAAGAATGAACCAATCCTCGTTTTCAACCTCACCTGTGCCATGAGCCGAGTCCTGTCCGACTCGTGTCTGGCTGCGGGACTTGGCATCCTGCTGGCGCATTTGTTCACTTTCGCCGCCAATGGATTCCTGGAAGTTCCAGTAGTCCATGCTGCGTGGGGTTGGTCCATGCCCTCGCCCTCGCCCATGCCATCTCCGATGCCATCCCCACCACCGATGCCACCACCTTCGCCACCACCTTCGCCTCCTCCTTCGCCTCCCACTTGTGGAACCTGGGGTGATGGACTTAGTTTCTCAGGTGCCGAAAAGAAGGACCTCGAAGGAGGTTAAATCGACTGATCAACTGTCAGTCAGCTTGCGTTTGCTTTGCTTGCTTTGCATGGCTTTTTGAAGCCCTTCAATCGTGGCAAGAGGATGTTGACCAGAGCCCCTTTTGGGGGTCAGGGCAGCTGCTCCAGCCACAGCCAGGAGGTCTCCCTATTAAACTATACACACTCACATCGGTGTGTAGTTCATCTCATGGAGACATAGTATATTCTCAGCCGTAGGGTCGGTTGGATCCCTCATCGTCTTCATCAACTCAGGAAAGTTTCAATGCAAAGAACTTAGTTATGTGGCAGGGTTCATGTTCAGACCAGACCGCCTTAGCCCTAGACTCGACCGCCTTATGACCGTCTCCACGGACCTCACCAGACCGGCTTAGCCCAAACACGACCTGTCTGGGACTGCCAGGATGGACTGCCGAGAAACGGCCAGGGGTGGTTGAAACGGGGTCAATGAGGCGGCATCTATGGCAGTCCCATTAGTCGTGTTTGGGTAGTGATCCTTCTACCCTACGACAACGAATCGAAGCCTTCAAGACGTTCGCGTCTCTCACATCTCAAAACGGCAGTGTGTTCAGATTCGCCCAGGTTCATGGAGTGCTTGCTCGGTGTCCTGCGGCAGCGGTACACGCATGCGAACCCGCAGTGGCAGCTGCGCGCCCTTCTCCGAGTCTGAAAACTGCGATGCCGGAGCCTGCCCGACCTGCCACTTGTGCCAAAATACACATTGCACATCCCTAGGGCTCCAAGTAACTCCTCAGAAGGGATGACTGGACCCTCTAAACCAACCGCAAACACCTTCTCACAAGGTACTTGGAGCCCTACGGTATGTTTTGTTTTTAAGCCCTAAGCCCGTGGCACTGCCTCCTTACTTCATGATACAAGTAGGCGCCTACTTAATGAAGGGAGAAGCAAGCTACCAGCTACTTGAGCTACTACATATGGATGCAGGATAGCTCACGCTCGCACCAATGATTTGGTTCCTAGATGTTTGCGGACACTTAATAACCAAGGACCCTGAAAAATCACCGGTTGCCAAAACCACAGGATCTATGTTAGTTTTCGGGAGTGTGTATATATATATATATGGGGAGTGAGTGAAAGCAAAGTTGCTGACAGATCAGGGACAGTTGTCAGCAAAATTGGACAATTTTAGTGTCAAAAGAACAATTGTGACAGGACTTTGTCCCCCTCCCTCTCCCCATGCGTTGTGCAAAATTGTTTTTTTTGTGTTTCTTTTGTTTTGTTTCTTTGGTATTTTCTGGATTTCCTTGGACGTTCAACCGTTGCAATTTTGCAAGATTGTTTGGAAAGCAAAGTTGCTGACAAAGATTGGGATGAAGGAACACTGCGAAACAAACCTCACACAAGTTGTGAGGGGACACTGGCAAAAAGTTGTGTGTTTGTTTTCACAACATTCAACACACGCCGCTGAGAGCGCTGTATATTAATGTATATACATCTACGGTCTACTCCATTTGAGCCCTCAACTACAGCAGCTTCCCAAGCCTGAAGTCCGCGCCTGGGCTCCAATCAGGCGGTGACTGGTCCCAGTGGAGCTCCTGTGGTGCCAGCTGTGGCGATTCCACGCAGGCACGCTCACGGAGCGGCGGTGCCTGTGCATCCTTCAGCGATTCACAGACCTGCAGCTTGATTCTTTTCTGGCAGGACTCGCAATTTCTATCAGGGGCCTGGGGGGTCACTCATGCCACCATCACACCAGCCCATGATTTGGGTGCATGATCAGGGTTTGGATGGGGTCGTTATTACACCAGCTGCAAGCCAGTGCGAACTCATGTTGGTGGTTGAGAAACGACAGAAGCAATGCGCTGAAACAAGGGGCAGGATTTTGTTAAGCCGTTTGCGGGATCGTCGCCTGTCCCATCTACTCAATCTCAACCATCTCAACCGAGAGACAGACAATGAGTTCATGGCAAAGATCTTGAAATTGTATATGTTGATTTTGCCATATTTTTTTCATTTTGGACATGTCTTTACTTGGAAAATAGTCTTTGTGGCAATGGCAATGGTAACCTCGGTGGTTTCCGGCGGAATTGCCACTGCATCTTCCACGGTCCGCAGCACAGCTGTCCCTAGGCAATCAGGGAGCTTGCCCTGAACCCTGCGGAGACTGGACACAGTGGTCGAGCTGTTCAAGCACATGTGGTACAGGAACTCGAGAAAGGTCAAGAACTGGGCAGTGCTCATCTTCCAACGACGACTCTGATCTCGCAGAGATTGGTCCAAAATGCGTCCGATGGGTTATGGTCCACCATGGTCCTCATGGTTTTCGACGCCGCAAAAGTGTAAAGAGTGATTCCACCCTCCATGTTTCAGAGTCTCATCCCAGGATGAGCCTTTGCCAACTTCCAACTGAATCTCAGTTGTTGCCTCCCTGAGTGAGCCAGTACGCCCTCACCTCAGGACCAAGTGCGAAAGCATGAGAAACCCATTCGAGGCGAAGAGAGGAGGATGAAGACACATCCATGCATCTGAGGCCACCAATCCTTAGATTCCAAAAGCCTTATGAATAAAAGTGCACCCAGGGTGGAGTTGAACTAGGATCATGGCACCCAAATCCCTTTCCGAATCTCCGAGATGCAGATTGGAGATTCGAGGAACAGAGTGAAATACTGTGTATATATTCAGTCAGTATATTTTACACATTTTAATATACTGCATTCGAAGCTCGCAAAACCAAACAGATTCTGAAGAACTAATCACGAAGTAGCACCTGCATTAGACTTTTTATGACTTCTCATAAGTGCCGTGGAGACCTCCGCCGAGGAGTCCGAGTCCTGCACCTTGAGCGCTTGCGACGACGGAGCCTCGACGGCCTCCGTGCCGAACGTGCCCAATTGCGGCACCTGGCAACAGTGGAGCGGCTGCACCGCCAGCTGTGGACCCGCCACCCGGTTGGGGGACGTTTATGGGGTGCAGAGCACCCCGGACATGCAGAGGGGGAGGGAGCAAGCAAGTAAACCCCCCCATCCCACCACCACCGCACCTTCTGTGGCAGGAGAGGGGTGGATATGAGTGGGCAAGGGAAGCCTATAGGTCGGTACTGAGGGAAGCAGAGTGGACGGGTGTGACCGTTTTTGTTGGAGGGGCCTGGGTTCAACTTCATCATGTTGGGTCTCTCAAAATGGCGTCGTGGGTGGTGAGAGTGATTTGTTCTGCAGTTGGAGAGGTTTGTTTTGCAGGACTCTGGGGGTGATGCCTCCTATGGGTTTGATACGGTGACCAGTCATAGGAGTCACAGGAGAACGGAAGGGAGCTTTAGTGAATGAGGTAGAATGAAAGATTTGCAAGTGTTGCTGAAGTGGGAGTTTTGTTCAGTTCCAAAAGTTCATTCAATTAAAATAGTATTCCCGTCTTGGATGAAACTCTTCTGCAATTGTTGTTTTTGTGCTGTGTGTGTGTGTTTGTTTGTTCGTTGAGTGAATATTTAATGCGGCATTCTCCTGAGTTTCCCTTTGCCTCTCTGCCGATGTACAAGTTGTTACAGGATGTTACATTTGTTACGGGAATGCTTGTTTGGTTTCTACTGTATTTGGCAGCCCTGAAAGTGGGACAATATATAAAGATGTGGTAGCAACAAGATGCAAAAAGAGTTGGCATAGATGTTGCAAACGATTCTCGCAAGTTCTTTATGTTTTTCTTTGGAGGTAAGTGGTAAGCTGGTACCCCAAACTCTACCCTCCATCAACATCCATTCATCTGGAAGACCTCTAAGGCCAGTCGCATGCGCTCCCGTGGTGGCGAATGCCAACCCTTCGTCGAGTCGGAGGTTGTCCCGGGGGCAGTGAGTCCAAGGAACGATAAAGAACGTAGTGTTTGATGATGTTTAATTTGTGTTTTACTAATCTGCACGGAACGGAACCCATTGGTATTCAGAAGATGGGTCTGACCCAAGGGGCCCATTCTGAATTCTCTTCCGCAGCTCTTTGCGGAGTCGGTGTTGATGCGGTTCAGCTCCAGCTCCCCACATCCCATGATGAGGGACGCCCAGATTGATTGGTGTCCATATGTGTCCATGAGTCACGGTTCGGCTGGGCCGATCTGATACCTGTGGCCCGTGGCCGCGGCCCGACCACCAAGCCCAACCTGCGGGACCGATCGAAGGGTGACCCACCACCATCCACCACGTCATGTGTGTTTGGTCACGTCCAAGCTCAACCCTGGAGGCGTGCAACCAACCTGGCTGCTCGAGCCCCAGCCCTCCGCCAAGCCCGCCCAGCCCTCCGAGCCCGCCGAGCCCGCCGAGCCCTCCGAGCCCTCCGAGCCCCACCACGAGTGTGTCAACGACGAGCGCTTTGCCCACAACGATGGCTGGGACCACGATGGCTCTTGGGAGACCGGTGACGAATGTGGTGGAAGTACGCCTCAGGCGAGGTGTGTGACAGCAACGGCCGAGATTAACACAAACAACATGACATTGGTGTGGTCATGATGAAGAGAGTGGTCATGAACTGCTGAGCTATGCTAAACTTGTGTCACCATGCGTCACCAATTCGAAAACGAAGACATGGACAGGGTGTTCTCCAGGGTGGGTTCTGAACGTGAAAAAGATAACACGAGTTCTATTCTGGTCATTCCCCCCTAGGAGGATTGAGATCTAAGAGGGCGTAAGATGGCATCAGAGAGTGTGTACTTTAGGGGGATAAGTCTTTCTATTTTACGAGATCTGAGATATTTGTGTTTTTGTTTGCTTGTGTCTTTGGCTTGTGTGGCTTTTGGTTTCTACTTGCTTTGCGGCTTCTGCTTGGTTGAACGCTTCTGTGGCTCTGTGGCTGTGTGGCTTTTGGGCCGTCCTTTGGTTGCGGGTTGGGTTGGTTTTTCACGTCTTGCTTTCGGTAGTTCCCGTGGGTTTCGTTAGGGCCGTTAGGTTTTAGTTGCTTCTGTTGGCTTTCGGTGGCTTCTTAAAAATGTGTGTGTGTGTGTTCTTCTTTTGGAGGAGGCACTGCGCCCTCACCCCCCCTGCTGCACCACTTCGAGATCCTGCCTGCCACACAATCTGAGAAAAAGAGTGACATCCTGCTTCCAAACACTTGTTTGCACCACACCCTTCCCTTTGCATTGTGTGAGGCGGAGACACAGCTGGGAACCTCCCTAGACCAAGCAAAATATCATAGTCCTACACAACATTTTTCCTGCTCAAGGCATTTGTCCTTGCCCACTCAAACTGATCCATCCATTGGTCCGTTGGAACATGTTTCTGAAAGTTATAACTATAATCACTAAAGGATATTAATATTTGTAAATGATACTAAATGCTGAATTATATCCAAATTGTAACATCGAACATACCTCTAAAATCCTGTCACATCCTCCTGCCCCCCTGCGCTTCGTCACCTTCTTCTTCCGCCGCTCCCGGCAGAATCGCTGCGGACTTCAGCAACGCGGCGAAGGACATCGACGCCTTTCGCGAGAACTTCCGCAGCGGCGTGGCAGAGGTGGCCGGCATCTCCAAGGAGCGAGTCATGGCGCCCTGGAAAGAAGTTGTAGACGATAGGGGAAAGGGGGATATGGATCCCAGACAGTCCATGGGACTGGCATATTTGCCGATCAGTTGGGGTTGCAGGGGTCAATGTATGCATATATTCCATATATGGAGTGTCTGGGGATGATATAGACCAATGTATGCGCTAGTCTTTTGTTGTGGTGCTTCGCTCCCAAGGAGGCAGGAGCGTGGTTTGGCGTTCTTATGCGTTCTTCCCTGATCAGAGTAGGGATCTATAGACTTTTGAGAAGGGCGATTCTTCGTGCGATGTTGTTGGGTGTGTGTAACTGAGAGCAAGCGAAGCAAAGAAGATGTGTGCAAGTTTCAGCTATGAGTCATCCGGGCGTGGGCGTTCAGAGGATGAAACTGGTGACCATGGAGGTGGTGGAGGTGGTGACTTGGGTGGAGCTATGGTAGAGCCATGGCCCAACCTTCATCCAAAGAAAAATATATAGGCTCTACTTTCTCGACCCTGTTCCTACTTGCTTGGCTGCTTTTTATAGATATACGGCAAAATCACATTGAACAGTTCATCATCAGACTTCGTCAAACGAGTCAATCGTTCCAGTGTTTGCAGTTTGGCTACAGCTTTCCAAAGACTTGCTAGCAATAAATTGAAGATCCGTTCTCCAGCCGGTAGAAGACAAATCCAAGACTTCCCGCTCCTAGGTGCGAGGCATCACCAAGGGATCCATCATTGCAACTTGGAGAGATATGACCAGAGGTCACCTGAAAGTCCATCACAGTCCATCCGATCTTCAAGCCCTGGTAGAATCACTGGAAGTGGGAGTTCATCACTGGTTTGGTACGTTGGCCTATGAGAGTTCGGTCGTGAGACCTCCAAAAACGATCGGCGTTGAGGGGAATTGTGACTGAACGTCCGAACGTTGCATCAGTTATTCCTTTTGGTTTAGCGACAGAAAAAAAGACGGACTGAACATCCGAACTCACCAAAAGTTCCCGTTGCTGCCTTTGCTTTGCATGGCTGAACACTCGATGTGGACCACTCTCAAATGGTGTCCGGTCGCAGCTGCAGGTTGATTTCATGGTCACGGCTGCAGAGACGATGAGTGACACCTCTGCAGCAGCAGCCATCCAGGCAGGCAAAGAGATGAGAGTGAGAGGAGGTGGACATTTCATCAAAGGGGTGGAGCATGTTTGTATTACTATTATAGTTTTGACTATAATCTTTTTGCAAGAGGTATGCGTCCGAGGTACACGTCCTGGTGTTCTTCAGCTCTTTTGTTGGAGCTTTTTGGACACGTCCGCTCCAAACGCGTCCCACGTCTTCCGCTCCGACAGGAAGTGGAGCGGAAGGTCTCCGAACCCAATGCCTGGCCAAACAGCTTGAGCACGTTGATGGCTCCTTGGCACTTGGCCATCCCGGATGGGCCCCGAAGACAGAGTTTATAAGAGCTTATAGATGATGGCCCCAAACAGCAAAATGGGGGCGTCATATTGACCTTACATCATTGGGTAGTTTCAGGGATCAATATGGATCAATGTAGCACATGTTATAGTTCATACATGGAGTCATGGCGTGTCTAGGGTCTACATTGCGAGGGGACCAAATGAAAAGAACATGAGAGTTGAAGACCACGGGTTCCTATCGATCGCCGTGCGAGTCGACGAGGCGATTTTCACCCTCCCCCAGTCTCGTTCCAGGCAAAGAATCAAAGAAACAATGGAACATGATTTGGTGTTGATTCAGTGAAGAAAAGAAACACATGTTGAACCTCGGAGAAGAGCAGGAAGCTGGATGGCTGTGTGGATCGGTGGACTTGGAGCGAGGCGATTCGTGAACCCTCAGGGATGGCCACCGAAAAGCACAGCAATCACTTCAATATGGGAGAAGAACCCAAGTTGTGGTATGAACTGGTGGTAAAGAACCCACTTCATATCCCACTTCTGGTGGGGGTCGCAGGGCGACCCTGCTTCGGCATTTTCAGACCCTGCTTCGGTCGCCAGAGGCCGCGGGTGCCACCGTGGAGGCCAAGGCCGTGCGTGAGATTCAGAAGGAGTCGTGCACGACGACCGGTGGAACAGAACCGCGAGCTGGGCTGCGTTTCTCGAAACCTGTTCGGGTCAGTGAGGGGGGTGAAAGTGGTGAAGGTAAGTGTTATGGTAAGTTGGGTTCCAGAAATTTGGACCCCTGGCCCAATCCCAGAGATGGGAGTGACATCAGGCCCGTGGTCGTCACGGGATTTGTCATTCTGCACTGGTCCTCCAGCAGTCGCAGAAGATTCTGCGACTCCAGAAGAGCAGCTATGTCACATGTCTCATGCTGGCAGATGACAACTTTACAGGTTTGGTCAAATCCAGGTTGGAGACCATCGCTATTAGGTTGGAGGTCATCGCTAGTAGTAGCAAGGACGCTACTAGTCGAAATACGCTGGTCGTCCAGGACGAGATCCAGGCGATGGCCATCATGTCCAGTGGGGCAGCGACTAGACCGGATGGTCGGGAGAAAGAAGCGATGCAATGGCATGACAGAAGCAGCAGCATCCCGCAACCTCAAAACGGCCAGAGTCTCGATGCTCTTGGGAATATCTTTAAAGGCTCTAAAGCTGGGCTGCGCCCCTTATGAGTATTGATTGCTTGAGGTGGCTTCCTGAAGTTTCCTGTCTTGATGGTTTCCAAGTTTCTCCCAACCGACTCAATCCCGCCGTGCTTGCGCTCGTGCTTGCGCTCGTTGGTGGAGAGTGTTCATTGAAATTCGATCACTGTAGCTGAATTACACTCTGTCCACTGAAACAACTGCATGCAGCAGGTTTGACATAGATGTTCTTATTTCCTGTATCCTCCGAATACCTCGAACATTTGGGGTGCAAGTACCTGTCTTTATAGTATAGGGTCATGGTCTTCTTTTCTAGCTTCTGAAGGGCAAACCTGGGACCCAACAACTTGAGGTTTGCTAGGGATTGGCATTGACATGGAACTGACCTGGTACCGAAAAATCCAGACACCCGGCTTCCTGGAGGCAGGTGCAAGTGAAGTAATCATGGGGCTCCAGGCTCAGGAATAGGGATCTCCGCCCAACCATGCGGATTGGAATGAAGGTGTGTGTTTTCGTGTGGGTATTCGTGATGCTTCCGATCTTTTTTTTAGGGGTCTCCATAGGGGTCCTCAGGTCCGTAAATGTCCATCCACACCGGTCGGGTACCAACCACGAGGTCTTCCTGACGCCGCTCGCGGGCTACGCTCCACCGTTGGGTTGCAGCTGCCGACGGGGCGATGGCGTCACCGCGGGCTGTGCCAATCACAAGAGCTTGTCTCCACCGTGGCTTGGAGTGGAAGGGGGAGAGGACTTAGGGTGACTAGATGTGACTAGTGGGAGAGGAAAGGAAGATATAGCAGTCGTTTTTTCGGGAATTGGATCCGTAGGAACTTGATCAACACGAGGTTCTGTTGAGTCCTCAGAGGTTGTGTCCTGACGATCCTCCCAGTTCTGCTTCACGCGAGGTGGTGCTTGGTGGACTCTGCGTGCCCCCAGAGTCAACAGGCTGGCGATGAGTGAGCGGTATACATGGATGAAAGAGTGACCCCTTTTTAGCTTCACGGCCTGCTTGTTTGTAGAGCTTGTCCCCTAGGTTCTTTCTTCATACACCCAGGTAGCCGCCTTGAGATACCCAGCAGGCCCGTAGTTCAACAAACTGCAGACGTCTATATAGACCGCGGTTGAAGGAACATCACGCTCTCAACTTGCATTGCCTTGTGAGACCCAAGTGTGTGTGGACATGCTCTCCCAGACATATTTGTTTCTCAGATATGGCAAACTTTTAATATAGACCCCCTCTTGAGTTTCCATGTTCTTCAGCCTTCATCAAAGCCAGCTTGATGTACACATTCTCACTTTTCTGCACTAGCAAAGCTGTTGTGATACCTTTATCAAATGTTGTTTGTTGTTTCGGAAAGACCTCGATCCAAGGTACAGTAGCCTTGTTGTGGTGTGTGCGGGCTAGAGTGGCCTAGCCAGTTTCCGTTACAATCACTGCTGGGAGGTATTTGACTCACTGCTGGGGTCGTAAAGCTTCCAGTTACACCAGATTCTTACACCATTCAGCTACCATCATGTGTGATGCAACCATCGTGTGGGCGAACACACAGAGCAACCGATGCAACCATCACCTACCAAACAAAAAGCCCTTCGGTTGCAGGCGTGTCTTTCGAGGGTTTCTCCTGTCCTGCGAGCTGGGCCGTTAATGTTGTTGTTCCGGCCATTTACATTCCCAGACACTCCATGGGACTGCCATATATGCCTACATTGACCCCCCAAACCACCCTATAGACAAATATGGCATACATGGAGTGTCTGGGATTTGTATGAACCGATGTGCCCTTCCGCTGAGTCCATTTCATGCCAGAGCCTCCAATCCACTCTCGCAGGGCGTGCAGGGAACCTGGGCCTGGTGTGAGACCACAGATGGAAACACTAGGGATGCGTCTTGGCCGTCGAGAGGATTCAGAGTTTTTTTGTTTTTTTCAACTAATAAATCTCAGATGGAATGGACGCACTATGACAGTATGAGCGCCAACCTTGGCATCAAACGACCCCCAAATGCAGTGTCGTGTTTTTGTTTGTGAAAACTGCGTCGTTGGTGGCCAGGTTGGCAGCAAATGTTGCCTTTTGGCAAACACAATCACGCACAAAACATCACACAACATAATATACATATACTGTATATATAATATAACATAATAGGCAAATAGGGCTTTGGTTAAGGGTGGGTTTGCACCCCAAAGCAAGTACTTGCTGAGGGAAACGATTTGGCATGTTGGGGTCGGGGTGAATCGTTTATTTGAACCCTTATGAATGACATCAGTATTGTCCTCAACCAATCTCAGATACGGAAAACATTTGAGTCTTGAACGTAGTCAATTCCACAGCATGAGATGCTGTACTCAAAGTGCGCATGGCCTTAAATAGGCTGCTATATAACGCTAAATAGATAATCATGGGAACGCACTGAACGCACCGGGCTTAAGGCATCTTCTAAGGCTTAAGATCGGTGGGGGTCCCGACCGTTGAGGATCGACCGACCGTGGTGGACTCTGGCCGTGGTTGCCACTCGTGCGGAGTCACTGGGCTTGTTGCAATGACCATTTTTCTTCTCACTCTTGGCTTCACAAGATGAGACATCATTGAAAGCGTGGTCGGATGCGGATTTCGGAAGATTCTGCCCTGAGTAGACTGAGCGTGCCTGAGCATCCAGCGATTCTCATGGTGCAAACTGTGTAGAGACTCGGCGTAGAACCGATCCTGATGGGAGGATGATTCTTCTTAGTACCCTCAGTTCTTCAGAGTGCTGAGTGCCTGTACTGGTTTTAACATGTTTAAAAGCTTGGACTCTTCACGGTGTCAGAGTATTCTCACAGGATCCAAGAGAAATCGAGAGATGCCGAGCGTGACAACCTGCTTGCAAGCACGACTTAGTGCTTGGCCAATGTTTGCAGCTTCGTACAGCGTTTGTACATCTCTGCAAATTTTCAGCGGTGCGGCCGACCTAGTAGGCTTTAACTGCAGTTTGCTGGGCCATTCAGCTCCAGTCCCTCGTGGTGGTAGCTGTAGGCCGGGGCCAGCCTGGCTGCCGAACGGCACCTTGGCTGGTTAGCAAACCTTTAACTTGAGCTTGGGTTTAAAATGCTGTGCACGTCCTCATAACACACCCTTTCGCTGATCGGACATTTTTTAAGGCACAGTTTTGCTTACCTTGTGTCCTTCTCCGCAGATTGCATGGGTGTTTCTTCCAATTTGGAATGATTTGGATCTATTTGGGGTCCCAGTTTTTATGTAAGAATCAAAGGACGAAACCAAATTTAGCCGCAAATTCAGTCACACGACCATCCATCAAACGGGCACGAACACGACAATGCAGTGATTGTCGCGGAGCGGATCTGGGAGCCTGGCACGCTCATGACGAAGTTGCCGAACTACTGAAAGTCCAGCCTAATGGATCTTTCAAAAGCATTCTGGAAAGCGCTTTCAGGTACAACTGGGATTCTAACATACTCTAAGTGTTCATATTGGAGTTGGCAAAAATGAGGGGTTCCTATTTAAGTTACGGGGAGTGGATTCATTCACCACTACTGGAGTCATGTGAAAATAGATGAAGATAGATCTAAAACAAAAGCATCTTCCAGGGCGCCTGTCCCTGTCTTTCAAGACCACAAGCGAGCTGTTTTGTGTGTGCTTTTCTTTTTCAGAGTGTCTATCTACCCTTCTGAACCTTCAAAGTATGTTTTTGGACGTGCAGATTCTTGAATAGATTGCCAGCTAGCAGCTAGCCTCATTGAAGGATACATGATATACAGACAGAGCCATCCTGTGGAGGAGTCCTGAACCCTCAGATAGAGGAGAACATATGTAGAAATATTAATATATGTGTTGGCGGTGTTCGTCTCCGAAGAAATTGGGAGCTCCAGTTCCAGGTTCGAAAAAGTGCCCCAACTGACCTAGCTGGGGTTTGTTCCAGCTTCCAGGCTATGCGGCGACAAAGGTCTGAAGCCAGAGAAAGGCCTGGACATGTTTGATGAGTGAAGCTGGAGAGTCGTGGATGCGGGATGATGTGGGGATCACAGATTCAGCACGTTTGTTGCCTTGGGGCTTCTGGATTTCAATGCGCAGATGTTTGGCTTCTGTTCACCACCAACGATAGATCTTCCCTATCACTGGAATGGACTTTCTATGATTTTCTAGAGGGATAAACTGGGTAAACAATTTAGCAAGTTTGACACATGAGCCTGGATGTGTGCCACCTCTTTGTGGTGCTGGCAGGTGGACAACTGGCTAAATGCATCTCTTGGCCAAATAGGCTATAAAGTTCTGATTTGTGTGTATTCTTATTACTGTAAGTAGTGTGTTACATGTACAGAGTGTCCGTTTGCCAAAACTTTCGGGACATGAATAATCATTAGTAACTTAGTTGCAACATGCATGAATATAATTTAACAAGTTGTATGATAATCATTGAGCAAGTTCTGTTGAGTGGTTCGGGAACTGCATCTGAGTGGTCCGTTTGATGATTTCGTTGCAAATCCAATTTCTGGATTCGTCCCCCGAAGCACGAGGGGTTCAGGATGGTTCAGGAGGCAATGCTTGAAGTTTTAAGGTTGTCTCCCAAGCAGAGGTGCTGCCATGTGTTTTTGGTTTGCCAGAATTGATCGAAGATTGCAGTATACAATGAAGACACAGAAGTTTAGCTTAAAATATCAAGAATCCAAAGCAAATGCTTCAGATGTCCAGTTCAGATATTATGTGCAACCTGTTATCAATGCCAGACCAACGACTAGCAGGTCAAAAATGTGAGCAGCTTGTGCAGCTCCGTGTTTGCATTGGATGATCAGCCTGGATAAGTTGCTGTTTGCTGGGGGTTAACGGTGACATCCACATGGGGCCGTGGATCATGTGGTTCTCGATGCGGATTACGCCAGACCAGTCACGCAGGAGGGCGTCTAGGTGCCTGAAGGAAATCTGAGCAATCGGAAAACCACTGAAATCAAACCAAGACTATAGCTATATATATCCCAGACATTCCATGTATGCCATATATATATATATGCCTACATTGACCCCTGAAACCACCCCAATGTAGGCATATATGGCAGTCCCATGGAGCGTCTGGGTAGTGATATCAAGTAACAAAGGTGACGACTTGTAGCACAGGTCGCGCAGTGCTTCCAGTCGGTCGTGCAGCATGGTCATAAATGATATATATATATACATACTCTCCTGGCCAATGGCCGCATAAGGGTCGGCGGAAACTTCATTTGTTGTGTTCGCATGCCACGTACCCTGGGCCGAAGGCAAGAGCGAATGGTCGACGCTGCTTTCCTCAAATCTGAGCAGGCGGAATCCTCCTGGCGGATCAACATGGTGTTCACAAGTGATGTTAGGCACTAAACGGCTTCTCCACACGCTCCACATCTCCTCAGACCTGACAAACGTGTCCGACACCCACTGTTTTGGCTTTGCCATGCCATGAGGGTCAGTTCTGGCATTTTCTTTGCTCAGGTGACAGAAGCACGGGTCCACTGCGACAGGTTATGGGTCAAGAATGGTCAAGACATGTCAAGACCCTCCTTCCATATAGGTTGTCAACTCCAAGCAGTTTTTTTTTCACCCGGCTGTACCCACAGGACCAATGGGATCCCGCCAGGAGAAGGAGAACCGAAAGCAGTTGGAGGATTTTCAGGAGTTCGGAGCTCAGTTTGGAGACGTTCGGAGCCAGGTCAGTGGGTTGATCTTTTGGTGGACCAGTTCTCCTGGAAGAGGGATCGGCGCGCCAATCGATTGGCCTTTGGAACCGTCCGCTGGGATTGGCTGTGTGGGATCAAAAAAGAGACGAATTGCAAAAAGAGACGAAAAGAGACCCCACTCCCAGGAATAAACTGCATGCGAGTAGTTCCAAGATACGACACTCAGCCAGCTTGGAATTTGATAGAATTTGGATCAACATGCCACCACTTTGTTGGTCTACTTGCCAACACTACCTCAAACGGTTAGGTGTTTTATACACCTCACAACTCGCTGCCGTCGTGCCAGTCGTCGGTGGTTTTTTTTCCCGGATCAAATCAGGCACAAGAAAGACAGCACAAGAAAGATGTGAGAAGCTGCATGCTTGAATTCAAGTTGCGGGGTCTCCCTATTCCAATGTACCCCCATATCATGCATTCATCCCGTTCCACAATTTCCAGCTTGAATGCATGCCATCCTTTGCCGCTCAGGCGCGTGGCAAATCAGTTGGCCAAGAAAAAATCCCAGGAGGTGCCTTGTTGGCGTCGCTCTTGCTTCTTTTCAGTTGGTTTGAAAACCAAGCTGCGCCGCCAAGGGTTGCTTCTCGTTACCCCACAACAACATACAACAACAGATTTAAGAAGCAAACGTAAGCAAATATAATGCATCCAAATATATGAATGAAATCAACATGTAGTGGAGATCATTCCTATAGGCCTGGCCAAGCAGCTGAGTCCGATTCCACATCACCTAGGACTCAGCCCAAACTCACCTTGTGAGATTATTCCGCACAAGCCCTGCACCAAGAGACCTTTCAAAGCTCTACGGACTCTGCAAGTAGTATACATGTTTGAGAAAACTTTGACCTAAAAGTTAGGTCATGTTAGGTCACTTCAGAGAAGGACCACACTTGTATAGAATGGAAACCAATCGGGTGATTTGGAAGGATCGCTCAGTTCAATCCATCCTTCTCACGACTGACCTGCGATCGAGGCCACTTTTCACTGACACCAGTCATTGTTGGTGTAGTCGTTACGCAACATGGATCAACCAAACACTTTGTCGGTCCTGTCCAACCTACACACTTCAGTTCACAACATGGATCCACACCCTCAATCTGGAAGGTCCTCTTCTGCCCCTGCCCTGCTTTTGACAGCTTTCCACGTCTCCTTTCATCGGATGTTCCCCCTTTTTTGAGGGTCGTCTCCTCGTCTCCTCTCTTCGTCTCCTCGTCAGGCGAGACAAGAAGCCGTCCGCCGGCGAGTGGTGGATGGCTCCCAGGAGCTGCGCGTGCTCAAGGAGCCGTCGGACGGCGCGGTCGAGACGGCGCGTCCAGACCGGGAGATAGCGCGTCCGACCGGGCGTTCAGCTTATTGGGGGGCCGGTGGATGTGTTTCTTTGGCTGAACTTGAAAGAACGAGTTGGTGACCGGTGACACCACTTAGTTGAGGATAGTGCTTCACAAGACTTGTTGACATGCAATGTCCTAACGATGTAGTCTAGTTGCTGTATAGATATGTTTGCAGAACTTGGTCCTTTCGCCTTTCGCTCAGTGTATCTAGGTGGCATTGGGTGTCCTGGCCATGATATTCAATGATCTTGCTCTGGGACTGGCACGGGACAGGCACACCATCCTTGATAAGAATGCTTGGTGTATTGAGCCAAAAAGAAAGCCCCAAGTCAGAACCTCCAAGTCTTTTGATGGGTTTTGGAGTCCTGGATGAAACTTAGTGGCCCTGTAGGATTTGTGGATGTGTCACTACTGTATTATACTGTATTGTTTCATTCCATGAGCCAACCTGTATGAGCGGTGCTTAAATAACCCCTTTGTTGAATCATGTTGAATCCTTTTGAGACAATTCATGCCTTTTCATGTGTGGCCGCACGAACAGTTCAATCTTTGGAGCCGTGGCCATTTGGCAAGCGTTTGGAACTGCCAGCTCCTGGCAAACTTGGACACTTGCTATTACAGGGATGGTTCAGGGTAGATCATGGTCAAGGACGGTCAAACCCAGGACCCTCCACCTGCAAAACCATGAACATGTTGTGTTTGGACAGTGTTTGTGGGTGTGTGGGTGTTCTTTTTTCATCGTCCGGATCGATTAATCTCTGGGCCCTGTCTTGCAGGAGAAGCTCCATGCAGCCCAGGTCAATAAGGTGCGCAGATGATGGGTAGAACAGGTTTCGCAAGGTCGAACGGCCTACTTCAATGTGCCGCACTCCAGGCGAGCCAAAATTTTCGGGAGCAAACATTTACTTACACACCACTTTGAGGCAAGAGTCTTGAGGTGGCATGGGCATAATATTGCAGTATCCTGATTTACATCTAACATATAGAGTGGTGTCTAGTTTTTAGATCCTTTTAGGGGTGTGTTATTGTGGCTTTACCTGCCAACATTCATCGTTTCGCAATGCCGGATATGCATGCAAGAATTGTGCCAGAAAAAACAGTGAAAACATCAGCATTAGTGGGCAGGCAGGTCCAAGAACACATGGAATCCATGTGGTATCTACAGGGCTCAGAACAGTTTGCTCTGGAGGTACCACATGAACCGTTGACTGTTTCATCAATGGCACAGGTCCGTCCCACGATGTCCCACGCATCTCGCCTCAGGTTTGGGCCAAGCAGCTCCTAGAGAAGCAGGCGACTTACGTTGCTTTCGAAGTCGAGTTTGAAGTCGAACGAGTGGAAGTCGACCAGCTGGAACAGAACAGCTTGGGCCCCAAAATGCCGGGACTGAGGTGTGCACCGGAGGATCATGGTGTCCAACACATGAACTGGAGGATCATTGGTTGCATATGCCATGGGTTGGTTCGTAGCTTGATACACCATGGGTTGGTTCCGCTAAGAGGTGAGCTTGGCAACCAGTTTAGTGGATTTGAGTGGAACGGACTCAGTGGACTTAGCTAGAAAAGGATGAAAAGGAGTATGCATGTTCAGTAGGCCATGATGACACTGGGTCGAGCAGTCCAGCAAAGCTTTGCTGATGCTGCATCCTGCAGCATAAACATGTTTGATGTTTCAACTCTGGCTGGTTTTCAGAGAGAGATTGTGTCAAATGGTTTGTATCATGCGAGAGGTATAGATGCATGCAACATTTGGATAGGTTGACTTTATCTAAAATTGTTATTCATGGACCTCAAGAAGTTGAAACGACCAACAGATATACCAAAAGCCAAAAGCCTCAAGAATGAGGGGAGGCCACACCCATCTTTGCTACATAAAGAACTTGTATCTGCACCGGCAAGCCGGAAAAATGTTCGGTGCGTGTGGACGCCGCGAGAAGCATCCACTCGTCCGAGGACATGGTGCAAGTATAGTTTTTGCTAGGGGGCAGGAGCCCTATGCGGATATGTAGTCAACCTTGCAGGCATCCCCACCGAAACTCAATCCAAATTTAAGGACTTGAACTCATGTCACTTTCGGTTCTCTATGGATTTCGCTTGTTTATACAATATCGACGTCATATAACTATATAATTTAAGAGATTCAATGCTTTGGAGTCGAAATCAAGCAAACAATTGCAAGCATAAGAAACATCAAGGCAAAACACCACAACATCAAAAACTAGATGTGTAACAATCAACCAGCTAAAGCAAACTCATTTGAGTCTGACTTGTTGCAGACAACAAATTAACAGACACAACAAACGATAACAAAACACGAGGCCCCCACAACGTTGCAGCGTCCATCGTGTCGTTCTTTGTGCCAGGAGCGCGAGGAATTGGAGCTGCAACGCGAAGCGCACATGGCCGCCCAGATGCAGGCGCCGAGTGCCGTGGTCACGGACTCCCGAGTGGTTCTTCTCTCGACCTGCATGGGTCGGGCGGAGGGGTGGAGTCACCGAGTCATGGATAGATATAGACGGACCACATCACATTGGAAGTGGACCCTGTTTTTGTAGGGGAAATCGTTTTCCCCAAAAGCAAGGAAGCCACTTCCATTGAGTCGTGAGTCGGAGGGTGTATTTACCCAACGGTCTTCCATCTTTGGTGCGGCATTTTGACAAATCCACAGCCATCCAGCAGTGTATCTGTGAAAAGTGGGGCCGACTTCAACTAATTAAACATCCAAGAGATACAATATGGCGTTCACTTTTCTCAGTACACTTTGCTGTTTATTTTCCCATGGCGTCTTCAGTCCTCACAGCGCAACATCCCACATGGGCGTCTCACTCGCTGCGGTGCTCGCATGGTCGATCCGGTGTCGTCCGGTGTCGATCCCCAGGACCTTCGCCTGCAGTCGGAGGAAGTGGAGCTTCAGGACCTCCAGCGGAAGGCGCGGTCGTTCGCGGGGAGCGTGGTGCGGGGCGTGGCTGGTGGGATGGAGCAGGTGGGAAGGATGGAGCAGGTATATGGGATACGACTGTTCATGAAGCGAATCGACTGTTCATGAATACACCCCTCCCATTTGGATTGGAAAGTGACTTCATACCGGGGGGTGTGATCAGTCAACAGTCTACATGAATAGACTGATCAGGGATGGCAGAAGTTTGGAATGATTGAAGAAGACATCCCAAGATGTGTGAGTGTCGATGGGATAGAGGAGAACCTCATAGAACCTCCATCGTCAAGTGCAAACTCGATGGTGAATCATTCACTTTTGCATACTCTGACTATCCCTTGATGCAAATGTTCCCTGCCCTTCGCACACGATTCCAAGATGCGTCGTGTCTAGGTTTTGTTTGCTGATTGGGTCACTGACTGGCAGGTCCTCCGAATGAAGGCATTGCAGAAGGAGAACGAGGATGAGATCGCTGGCAGATGCAAAGAGTATTGTATTGCGTATTGGTAAATATTGATATTCATCCTGCAGTATGTTGGAATACACGGCAGCAACCACAGTGCAGAAGCACACCATGTTAATTCCCCCAGACTGACCAACATGAATTCTATGTTTGATGATTTCTGAATGTTCATCCAAAGCCGAGACCTGATTTGCTTATCCAGTTTGGGTACAGCCAGCTCATTTGCTCATTGTTGCAGCGTAGTCCGAAACAGGAGACCGGCTCAGACTGACTCCGTCACTTCCCCGGTTCAGAGCACGTCTCTCTCACCGCCGCGACCGGGACATGCGAACGTCTCCACACGGACCGACGCCCGATGCGGTGCTTTTGGTCTATCCGGTGCAGGAGCTCCTTGCAGCGAAGAACCAAAGCCAGGAGGTTTGGAGATGACGGGAACGACGTCTCGGGTGGCGGTAGGGTGGAAACGGAGACCGACCGAAGATCAAGACTACGTGGTGGACTGGTTGGGCGATCATGGTGGGTCAGGACCCAGGCCTATGTGAATCGGCTAGTGGGATTCAACCTTTCTTCACTGATCCAGCAAAAGTGAAGAGAATGTGAAGCGGTTCTTTTCGGGGGAGAAGGAAAAATAGATCATGCCCAGACCATCCATAGGACTGCAATAGGTACATACATTTACCATCATTTGCCCCATGCATTGCCAACAAATGGCAACTCTTCCATATATTCATGTTTTGGGATAGATAAATAGAAAACCTTATAAAGCCACGAAACATTTGAAAGTCATCCAATATCATCCAATGCTTAGCATCCTCAAGTCACATCCTAGAGCTAAGCTTCCGCAGCGGATCACTGGTCATTGATGTGTTGCCTGTTTTGTTAGGAAGCTCTCTCCGTTTTCCTTCGCCAGAAGACTGGGCACTCAGAAATCATAATCTTAATTTTGCAGATACTTGTTTCTGGCTAAGTGTTATTTGGTGTGTGTTTAGAACACCAATCCAGATCCACTGGCTTCCAGTTTTCGTCGACGGGAGCTGCTCCCAACGCCGTCGACCTTCCACGACTCCAGTCGCGGTGCGCTCTTCGTCAGGCACTGCTGAATGCTCAGCATGAGAAGCAGCAGGTGGAGGAGCGAGCGAAGTCTTCGGGATGCTTCGAACCCCGCGAGCGACGACACGGACGACACGGGAGTTCGATGTTTGGTACTTTCTGATCATGCTGGGACTAGCCCGTGCTTATGTTTTCATGCTTTCTGGAGATGTTGAATAGAATCCTGAAACCCTTCTCGTCTGCAAGCAAGTCCCGGATATGTTGAACTGTTGAACGCCGGATCACTAAGACAAGCTTGTGGTCACTGTGGTCGTATTTCATCCTGTTTCCCTCTTTGAAAGGAAAGCATTCCTAACAATAAAAAGGCAAAGTTTTGCCACAGCGATGTGCAGGAAGTGATGGCCAGGGTTCAGGAGGAAGACCGAAGAGAGATGGCAGCCAGGCTCCATTGGCCCACACGGCCAAGTCTTAGACAGCAGCTTATACGGCTCCCAGGGAGATGATTGGTCTAGGTCTCGGGATGTGAATGACTGAGCCACAGAACAAACCAACCGTTATGACCAGATCAGACTGGGCCAGACACCTCCATCAAGGCACTGTTGCACAGACATGACCAGACATGTTGTCTTTGCACAGAATTACCCAGATGACCGCAACTGAGCTACTTGCAGAGACAACATTTAGAACATGGACCCGTTTGGCAAGGAGCTACTTGCCTATGGTGCTTGTGATCACCGGGGGTGTTCCGCATCTCCCAATCCCCGAACAGCTCAAATCCCATGTGCGTGATGGATTTTAAGGGATGGGCCAAGCCAGGAACAGTTTTGGGTATTTGAGCCAAGAGTGCCGGATTTGGGGTACATTTCTCCTGGACTTGAGAATGGTCATCTCAACAAATTGGAGCCGTTTTGGGCCAAGGCAAGCTTCCTTGGGGGATGATCAGACAGTCGGTAACTATGTGTAGGTTCTTAAATTGTAACTGTTGCTTTGCACCTTATGCAAGTCCCAGAGAAGAACAAATGAATGCCAAGTAGCTATCTTGGAATCCGTCAACCAGACCCAGACTGTGGAAGGACAGATTGCATATTGGATCGTGGAATCCGCTGAAGCATGGCTGCTATGACATGCAGTTTTTTCATGGCCATGGGCCATGGACCTTTCACGCAATGGACCTTTAGCCAATATGGATTGGATTGTGGATGGCCATGGACTCCCAGAAACCTTGATTTAGCCCAATGGTTGTACCTTCCCTTCGCCAGGGCAGAACGGAAGCAGTCTATGATGGAGATGCTGCTCAAGCAATGGGGCTCAGTCTGGGCCAGCTGAGCCGGCGTCGCCGTGCCGCCGGAGCCGCCCACGAAACAGATGGATAGATGACACAGCTTCGGTGAAGCGAACTGTTTGTGACTGAAAGGCTAAGTGTTTGTGTCCTATCTTCCCGGGCAACCGAACTATTTGCTTATTTATGGAACTACGCAAAACACACTGGAATCGTTTGAAAATGGTTCTGTTTACCTTCACCAAACGACCAGACAAATAACAGAGAAAGAAAACTATCCAGAAAGGCCTTGATGGGTGCGATATGGTGCGATCCATCCGCTGATTCGATCTTCGCACCCGCTGGAGAACTCCCTTCACTTCGCTTCAGCCCGCACGAGGTGCCGCGAGGAGAACCAGCAAAAACAGCGTGAAGAGGAGCAGCGGAAGGCTGGATCAATGCCTGCTGGGCTTGCTTAACCTTCGACATGGGGCGAAGACAAGACGTAATGGAGATTGACTTGGCAATTGGGAATACGTTTCGTTTATTTGCACTTTGCTGCCACACGGCCTGCGACTTCGACCGTTCATGGGCGCTGTTCAGGCCGAGGAGGAGGAGAGCATTGAGGCTGAGATTGGGAGAAGCGTACATATTCCAAGGTGTCCAGTTTTGTGGTCCGAAAAGAAAGAGAAGGATTTGGGCACAGTTCGATGCAGCTCACTTCTTTATCATTGATACTTTGACTTGGAGACTTTGGGGTGACTTCACAGGTTTGTAGGGGATCACCTCAAAGCCATCTTTTCCAAAGCTTTGCATTCCAGCCTCCAAGTGTGTACTTCGAAATCCTAATCCTAATACCTTGATTCCTCTTTTTCACCCACACAAAGGTGCAGGTGCGAGGGCAAGCAACTGCAGCTTGTGTCTCACACCAGCAACAAATGTGACTGTTTAGACCATCTTTCGCAGTTGTTGTCTTCACAGCACCAAGGGACTGATGACCACTCGTTGCTTTGATGTCCTTGATTGCTTGGCCATAAATAAATATGTAATCATTCTCGTCTATTGCCGCTTCAAGGGTCGCGCCGACTTCAAGCATCCCTAGTGTTTCGAAAACAAGCATTGCCTTGAAGGATGGGGCTGCTGGTCGTTTTCAGGCTGCCTGTTCACCTAAAATTGTGACGGTCCATTCTAGCAAGCTGGTCCCACGTGGGTTTCGGGTGTTTCTAGCATTGATATGCTAACAATGATATCAATGGTTAGTGTTTTGGTTGACAGGTCCAGTAACTTATGCAGAACCCCTCAATATCAGGTAAAAAAGCCTCAATACCTCAATATATTCTGCTAATTAAGTGTTTTGGGTTCTTATGATATCAATTGACCCCTCGTAGACACCGACACCCTGACGGCCAGGCCTACGCACGGCGGAAACGTGCCATGGAGGAGGAGATGGCCCGAAAGCCAGGCTCCCAGAGGGTCGGGCCCAGTGAGCGCCACAGAAGTGACATGAATTGACCGACAAGTGCCGATTGGTCGTTTTTTTGGGGGGGTGGGTTTGATGTCGTTTGGGGCAGTCTAACGAGGGTGTTCATTCTCCAAAAACGTGAGTGTAGGTCCGGTCAAAAATACTTGGAGGGAAGACAGCAGTAACAACAACAAGAGGCGGTCATGGGAGGTTTGGTCAAGGCCTCCAAAGACCCGGCTGCCGTGGTCAGCCTTGGGCAAATGAAGGATGTAGACTTCAGGTAGCCATTCTTGCAGGAATTGGACATGTTGCAAGCCACCAAAGCTAAGGAAAAGCGAGCAAGAGGCGGAACGCTGGAGAGTGCAGCAGGTGCCACCTGAGTTGTTTCTTTTGAACTTTTGTTGCTGTACTTGCATCAAATCCAAAGGCTTAATAATATGGATTATCCAAAACGTTCAACCAACGCATGCAACATAATCCTTTTATATGTCTTTTAGACATGACCGGCCTTTTTGTTAGTTTTGTAAGGTTATAACTTGCATGAACTTGTCGTATTATATAGTGACAGACAGATACTTCTAACCCCATTTTCAAAAGTGTCTAAGTTTGTTGCTATAGGTTCTAAGTATGTGCCTGTCACTATAGTTTGTTGCTGTTAGACATCTTTCAACTTGGATATCACCAGCAGCGACCTTCAAACACTGGGCCTGTCGGGGTGTCCCTGCAGATTTGCTCAGCAGTCTCCAGTCAGCTGCAGGCGATGGTGCGGGAGCAGCAAGAGCGTCATCGCGAGGCACAGCAGATGGATCGCCTACGGGAGGCGCGAACATCAACAACGTGCAAGTTGCAAAGTGAGGGTTGGTTTGAGGAGGAGATCGTGCCTTTTTGGCTTTTGGCTGTTCTTTTTGGCGTAATTATATATTCATTCCAGACGTGTTTGCCTCCTGCCTTTGGATATCCGGCAAGCAAATGAGGACCTTTGGCGCGAAGAAAGGGAAGCAGCAGACAGGGAAAAGGAGTTGAAGAAGGCACAAAGTTGAACCGTGAACGATCCTGTGCATGAAACGTATAACGTCACAAACTGTTTGCATACACTGTCAGATAACTTTTTTGGATTTGTTTTGGACATTCCCAACAATCATAGTTGTCGTTGCCTTTGAAGGCAAGGAAGATCCTGGAGGATAAGCAGGAGATGCTGAATGCTTACCAGGAGCATGTGGAGCGACAGGAGAAGATCCGACAACAGGAGATTGCCCAGGAGTGACACCGAATGCTTCACTGTATTGGCATCTTGTGGCTGTAAACACTGCTCAGTCACAAAGTACCACTGCAATCCACTGCATGTTTGTCAAGTACGGACCTTCGCATTAGCTTCTGAGAGGCGTTTCTGCGGATTCAGAAAACCAGGAGTCACAGAGCTCGGGGTGGTGTTTCGTCCGATCTCGCACCCCTCTCCTCCGTTCGTTCGGCACCCTGTCCTCCATGTGACTGCTGGTGATGTATAGAGAAGTAGCACCACTTGGCTTCGCTGGAAACCCACCGGAGCCGAACAACGAGAGGACCGAGCCCGGCAGATCGGAAGACCGGAAGACCGTCGACGTACGTCGCTTCAGTCGCTTCAGGATCCTGAACGATCCCCTATATGTGACCGGAAAGAATCTTCCAACCATCTTGAGTGCGAATGGTTTCAACAGCCATTTGATACGGAGTCTGATTCCAGGAGCAACAGGAACGGCAAGAGCTGCTTGCCAGATATGAAGAGGCTGGACGGGGTTGTGTCGCTGGGGCTTAGGCAAGAGCTTGGACGTGTTCCTTACACTTGCGCAGTGGAGGAAGGTTGCCTTGACATGCCTTGACTATATAAATGATGGTTGGCACTGCGATCCAAATGAAGCCAAATTCCTTGGATGAACATAGGATGGCAGAAGGGACAATTGCAACTTGTCTTGCGCACATACTGAATAAGGGACGATTTGCACCCAAACAACTGGCCAGAGGGAACATGTCTCCAAAAGAAGCCTCGACTACTGAACTCGAGACAAGATCACATTTCCTTTCATACATCAGGGGTCATTCGCTGTGCTACACAAAGGACGTTATACTGTAAAAGGAAAGTACGTAGTCTTCCAAACATCATCCTCCACTTCCATGCTAGTGAGTCAGAGTGTAGGTTTAAAGAATCGGGCTCCTTGCTTCAGGATGCTGCCGTCAACCTCATTTCATCAAGCTTAAGACTATAGACTATAGGCCAGCATGTGCACCAACATTCAAATATTGAGACGGACAATGGGCTGCTCAGGAGAATCGGCTCGAGCTGCTCAGTGCCCAAAAGAGGCGAATGAAGATGCAGGACTGGTCTGCCTGGCGTGACCAAGTCACCAGTGCCTTGCAGTGACTCCAATGCCTTGCAGTGACACCCAGTGGCACCCATGCTCCTAATAACAGGCCCTTTTGGATCACAGTTATATTTGGACCACACAATCAAGTTATATTTGGACCGTTAAAATATTTGTTTGGACCACACAAATAATGATTCGCGAGTCCCGTGGGTATTTGTGTTCCTAGACTTTTGCACTCAGAGCAGTGAGGTTGAGTGGTTGATTTCGAAGGGTTCTTTTCACAAAGCAGTGTGCAATTTCTGTGTTATGTTCACCTTTGTTCTTAAAGCTTGCGCGCTGCGGATCTATCCTACAAAAGGATTTCCCTGCTTCAGAATTTTGGTTTTGGTTTCTTGTCCGGCTTCGTTGGCGGCACTTGTTTGTCTTATCCTGTTCGGGTTTGGTATGCTCTTGCGTTGGCCGCTTTGGCCATGGTCAGTGGGCCTGATTCTTCTAGGTCTCATTTCAACCCGAAGCTTCCTCAATGTTGTTCTTCTATCTATGCTTTACCCCAAACCGGCGGTTGACTCAGTGTCGAGCCTCTACGGTGAAGTGGACACCCGTTGCCCTCTACAACGGGTAGCGAGCACCAGAAGACATGACCGACCCATTGACCTACCTGGCTACCTGGTCAAGCTTGCAGAACCAGCTCCGTTTTGGACCCATCGCCATATATACCTGGAACCCGTTTGACCTCTGTTTTGATAGAAAAGACCATATTTTTGGTGGTTTGTGGTCCAAAATAGAGGTCATTCAGGTTCTAGTTATATATATAATACGTGTTTGCCTTCTTGGAAAAGCACATATAGACCCTTATTGCACTGGACTGGCTTTCAATGCGGCCTTTGACACTCCCTGATTCAATCGCCTGGTGCGTTTCTTCCCGTTTGTTTCTCTTTAGCTTGTCGATTGAGTTCCTTTAACATAGTTTTGATACAACTTCCTCTGGAGCTTTGTTAAATTTAGTTTATCACGAAAGGTACCTGAGTTCTCCTTGCTTTAGCAAACATGCATTACAATCAGGACCTGGTGATTTGCCTAGAGTTTGGTCCTGTAAGAAGGGATTCTGTCCGACAGGGGGCCCCCCGCGCTGGATCATTCCCCCTGCGCCGTCGCTGTTTGGGTCACATCCATCCACCTTTGACGACGTCATGGACTTCTACCAGGGTTACTTGTGATTGCCTGCTACCTTTCGTTCACCCCCTCCTCTCTCAAGTTCTTTTTGGTCTCCCGTTTGATTAGGAGTCATAGCTTGAGACAAAGAGGTACCTTCACCTAATTTATGGGTCCTTGCGGTCCTTGCTTCTTTTCATTGTGCCCTCTTGGTTTTCAGCCCTCAAAGTATATTCCCATTGTTGCCTCTTACCTCTCCCAGTCTCCGACGGATACCGTATTGACCTACTATATCTCTTGCGACCTCTCTCTTAGATGCACAGAGGTTGGCCATCATTTCCTAGACCTCGGCCGCCCCAGGCTTTGTTTATTTGTCTGTGGTGGTACAAACGCTATCAAAAAGGACAGTGGTTAGTTATCAGTGGAGGTTCGACAGCCTTTGTAGCTGGAGATTCTACTTGTGCGCTGTATCAAGGTGATTCTACTCGTCGTTGAGATGTAACATCTTGCAACTGACTATAACATACTATAACTATATCAACATAGAACCCTCCGGGGAAAGCCACACCACAATTCACAGTCCCAGGTTCTCCTGTCTCTCAACCACTAAATGTAAGTCCACTGAAATCGACCGAGTGACGCGCGCGGCACTCGCGCGCGTCGCAGGAGTATCGCCGGGCCGTGGATCAGCAGATGGAGGAGCGTCGGGAGATCTACGAAGACCAGAGGCGGAAAGAGCGCGAAGAGTTGGCGCGCATGAAAGCTGAAGAGGAGAGGGTGAGTCGGGACCGGTGGGTCGAGATTGGTGATAGATGGAATAAGGGTGGGTAAGAAAAGGCCCAAAGAAAAGGCGTGTACACGGCTATTTTGGGGGGATTGGTTTGTGCTTTCTTTGGGGATGATCTTTGATGTGGTTGAGTCTTTGGGCTTCCTCGGGTTGGGCTTCCCAGTGGGTCGCGGGTGGAACATCACACGAGTTCAAGTAACTATTCTGCGACATCATCCTGCAGTGGGCAGGAGAGGGAACATACAAGTTGAAATCCAATAGGAACTGATCATGGTCTTTGACTATTCAGTGTATATATGTTAAATTCTATCAACCTTTGAGGATCAATGGGTTCCCAAGTACAATGCGATACAAAGGGGTTTGTGCTTGCCAATCTATTTGCAGAACCACCATCCATATGGGGTGTGAGAGCATCAGGAGATGGTCCATTGATCCTGGCCCCTTTCCAGGAGGAGCAAGCGAGAATCGTGGAAGAAGAGCGTCAAGCTTTGCTGCTTGGTAAGATCAGGGCGCGGGACTGCAGCGGCTTAGCCCAGCATCTGAGGAATGTAAAGATTTTAGCCATGGTACGCACCTAGACACCATTCAAATCCCATTTGCTCAAGTTCTGGCTCCGGGCCTTATGGCATGGAGGCGGCGTATGATTCAGCCAAAGATTGCCCTGATTGCGCTGTAGAGAACACAGTTTCAAACTGGCGTTTGTTATGAAGAAAGATGTTTCTTTCTTCGTGTCTGCATGAAATTGGAAGTTGCATGCAGTTGCAGCCCAGCTACCGTTTGAAGAGGCCTGATTCTCCATTATCTCCGTGCCTGTTTGCAGCTGAGGTTGAAAAAGTTTGCTCCCGACGCCAGGCCAGCGAAAGAGACAGAGAAATCCTGAGCTAGCTGCGTTGAGCACCTTTCCTTCTTGTTCTATGGCCTTGTGATACCTAGGACCTAGGAGAGTATAAAGTGATGGTTTGGGACACCCATGGATAACTCCAGGTCGCCAGCAAACATGAGTGTCATGAGAGATTTGACAGTGTTTGGTGTGGTTTGAAGGGGGCCAAAGAACGTTCTCAGGTAGTCGGATCTAAAACCAGTCTGAAAGGAATGTACCAGGCTGAACATGGGTGAGGAAGTGTCGCGGTATCCCGGATAAGTACTGGAGAGCCTGTTAACTACAAAACTTCCCAAAAAGAACTCTGTTGAAGTGTTTTGTTTCCACGACTTGACTTGTCCTTAGTCTTTCTTACCAGTTTCTTGAGGGGCTTCCGAATTGTACGGCATCCCCAGATCAGGCAAAGGCACCGATCTATTCCGCCGGTGGAGGCACTTTCCCAAGGGTGCCTTGCTCAAAAACGCCGACTACGATGCCGTCGGAGGGCTCAGAGTCAACGTGTTCAGATTGGGTGGAGCAGCGAGCGAGTCATTGGGCATGGGTGACCATCCAGATCCATGCAGATCCATCCAGTCACCTGTCCATTTGATCGGATATTGAGTACTGTCATGTCATGTCCATTCATGTCGCGTCAGTTCTCAAAGATGTGAAACCGGTGACTAGTTTCTCTTAACGACTTCTCTAGCTACAGTCTAGACAGAGGCCTTTGATCATTTTGACCTCGACATGCTTGATGTCTTTATGGATAGATGGGCAATAGAGCCAAGGTGCCTGAAGAAAGCAATCGCAAAAGCGATGATTATGATTTCAGACACTAGTGGCTTTGGAGTTGAACTCCAACAGCCAGCAGCTAGGATTGGAGAGGAGATTCTGATGTGTGTCTTTTTCCTACGTTGCCAAAGGTTTTCCCAGCACCATTGCCACTGTTTGGCACAATGAAGCCGTATTCCTGATGTGTTCCAAGACACGGGGGATCAACTTCTTCAACCTAAGACGAAGAAATTCCTTGGGACTTGTGCTGTGTGCATTGACCCAACAACGACCTAACCCTTCTGTAAACTGCCCTGCAGCGTGCCAAAGTCTAAGGCAAACAGTAATGGATCTTGGGCACGAGTCGACAACCCATGTCAACGGATGTCAAATTCCATGAAACAGGGGGGGGCGTTTGGGAGCCTGGATGACCTGGACAACAGAGCCGGAGCGGCCGACAAGCGAATGTATGGCCGCCTTCGCTTGGAGAGGGCAGTGTACACACATGAGCAACTACTTCTGTGCGGCGAAGAACAAAGCCCGACATGTGACATGTGATATGATGTGATATGATTTATTCAAGGTGTCCTCGGACAGAAACTTCTTGGAAACCATGGCTCAAATCGAACCTCACCAAGCCACTCAATTTTTGTTCGACTCAGGTGGGCCTACAAGCTCCACCGCCTGCTGCGCAGAAGCCAAGGTGGGACGGTGATGATGGGCCTCACCAGCACTGGCGACGGGACAAAGCAATGTCCATTCAAGACTTTGGGACAAAGCGATGTCCGACTCAACTGCCACCCTTTGAGGAGATTCGTCATGTGTATATTTTGCACCGATGGGATGAGTCTCTACCCTTGGATGGTACGCCACCCTTTGATGCTTGTCAGTTGGCTGTTTTGGCCAGCGTTCCGGATCGAAGCATTCGTCCCGGATGCCGAACAACAAAGGCGGTCCAAGGCCATACCTATACCCTCGAGTCGAGAGACGGTTTGTTTTTCACGTCAAAAACCAGTTCAGAGCCTACGGTGCATCGAAGCCAAAAACCATTTCAAAGGGAAGAAGAGACCTCCCAGCTACTTTCAAGGTAGAAACAGCCTCAAACCCTGCATCTCAAGCACTAAAGGATTAGTCTTAAAAGTGTTCTTTTCCAACAGGGGACCTTCAACAGGGGCTTCAAAGCTCCTGAGCATGTTCCTCTTGATAGCAAACCTTCATCAAGGGAGCACAACTTCCCATGCGGCTTTGAAGTTCTGTCATGGCCTAATTACAGACTAAAGTGTACATTTCCTTGGCAAGCTTCTTTGAAGTTGAAACAGGAAATCATCCACCAAAACTAATTACTGTACCAAACATGACTAGACAAGAGGATACATTAAAGGACACATCAACGCTCAGAACCAAAAAGTGATGACAACTTACGTGCCACACCGTCAATATCTGACAAGACATGAGGCCCAATGTCATTGCAAACCCAAAGACACCAATTCGGCATCTTTTTGACGTTGTTTTCTTTTGGTTGTTTTTTTTGGGTGCGGTTTTGGCGCGGAGTCTGTTTTTTGAGTGATGGCGTCGGTTTGGCGTTTGTTTTTCACGTGAAGGCGCCGTTTTTCATGATTTGGCGTTTAGTTTTTTTCGTGCGGTGGATGAGTAGATTCTACAGAAACACAACAAAAGAGTGCCAAGTCCTTCAAAACCGCTCCTTAACCTCTTAAGTTCTTGGTGTTGTAGGCAAACTTGGAGGCCAAGCAAACAAGTGCCACCAAAGCAAGTTCTAACCGAGTTAATTCCCCAAAGAAACCTTGGCCCAGCAAGTCCATGATTCCAGGCTTGGTTCAGTTTGTACAATGGGGAAGGGCTTGCTAGGATCAACTTTTCTTTGAGTGTATAAGAAGAACCCAAGGCCCTCCAAATGTCCATCCAGGCGAAGGCAGTTTTGGTGATCAGGGTTGTTGTGGCTGTGCAACCATCCGGTTTTGATTACTTGCGCTCCCTACCTCTAATGGCTGTTTTTTTGCAGCATGACATGGGGCATTGGGAAGCACAAGCAAACATCTAGCGGGCCATGCAAGCCTCTGTGTTAAATACTTCCATGTTTCTTCGCATTTTGGACTTTTTTGACAAGTGTCCCAACAGGACCTGAACACGCAAAAAAAACAGAGCAATTGATATTTTGCGGCGCACCTGAAAAAATGCAGTGTTCAGGGCTCCAGGTATACAGTAATACGACGTAATTATATATAATATATAGCCGTATAGCCTTGGTGTAATGAAGATATGGTCAATTCGGTTCTTTTCTTTTCTGATATAATACACTTGCTGGAATCATCATGGAAGTGGAAAACCACCTGTTTGGTATTCAGAACATGGTCCCGGTAATCCAACAGGCCATGCCATCCACGTAACCACGATTTTGTGCCGGGAGCGCAGCACCAAATGGATCCAAACAATTCCAAACATACTGAAACCATCCGAAACCATCTGAAGCCCAAAACCGCTCGAACTCCAGATGCCATGGACCCAGCCGGGGCCGAAACGCGCACCGTCGCCATCGCGGAGTCCGTGGCAAGGACACCACTGACCCTACCACGAACTCATCACATGGACGTGGAGTTCACCCCCTGTTCATAGGAGCAAAAATGTTCTTCCCGGGCCGATTTTGCCATCCACTTCCATGTTAGTGGGTCAGAGTGGATCCTCCCTGCAACAAACCTGGAAGTGGACGTTCTGGCGCCTGCAAAGACCATTTTCCGAATACCAAAGCGGGAGTTTTCCACTTCGATACTTGTTGCAGGGAGTCTAGAAATGTGTAGATGACCGTGTTCCTGTGTTTTGATTGGTAAACGCTCACTCATGTATGATGATGTACTCTGAGAGAAAGCTAAGGAAAGGAGGGTGCTCGTTGCTGTGCAACAAGTATGGCCAAAATTCAAGCACCCAGATGTATCCCAAGCTTGGTTTTACTGAGTGCCCCCGTGGTCTCCCGTTTCTTCCGAAAGAGAGATTGTCATTTCGAAAGCAGGTCATTGGAGCTGATGAGGGTCGTTGGTTGCTTTTGCATAGTCTCTCATGTTCTCATTGAAACGGTTCCCAGTGAAACGATTCCCAAGGAAGCTTCTTCTTACTAGTACGTAGCTTCAAGGATCTACTATGTTCCTCTTGCATAGTCTCAACAAATCCGAATGTTGGGGCAATCGCGCTGGAATTCTGCAATCAACCTGCAGTGAGGCCACAAGTGATGAACAAAACAGCAAAACACGTAGATATGTTTCTTCCGTTGCAGGTCCAGTGATCGAGAGTCTTGCGCCAGCTGTTCACAGCTGGGAACAGCGACCTGCGAGCTTCGCAGCCAGGTTCGCCAACAACCTCGGCATTCCTCCCTATCCGGTTCCTTGGCTCGTAGGACCTTTGGCTTGCACAAACACCTGCACCCGTATGGGAAATCCGTGGTGTTAGTGGTTTCAGCTTCTGCAGGAGGGTTGCATGATTGATTGGGTCTAGCTCAGGGAAAACCCAAAGACAGAGACACATTAAGCCAGACAAAGTGACACCCAAGAGGAAGTATCAAGGTAAATGCCTGTGGATGTGGCTCTGTGGACTATTTGGTAAATCACAGGTGTTTTTGTAGAGAACACGTCCACCATCGCCGGGGGCTGCGTTTTTGTTGTGTGGTATAGCTTCCTTGGGAATCGTTTCACTGGGAATCGTTTCACCTGTAGTATATAACAAGAAGCTTTTTAGGTCTTTGAAGCTTCTTAGTAACAATAAAGCTTATATAAAACGTTCTAGTATATAACTAGAAGCTTCCTTGGGAATTGTTTCACTGGGAATTGTTTCACCTGTAGTATATAACAAGAAGCTTTTTAGGTCTTTGAAGCTTCTTAGTAACAATAAAGCTTATGTAAAGCTTTCCAGTATATAACTAGAAGCTTCCTTGAAATCGTTTCACTGGGAATCGTTTCACCTGTAGTAACAATAAAGAAGCTACAAATAGAATTCTCATTAAGACCCTTTGGGTTTTCTCAGAGTTTCACCCGTGAGTTTCCCCGGCAGCGATGCGATGTGAGAAGCGTCACGGCTCTCAGAGGTGCGGAGCTTTCAACCCCCTTCTCGAGCTTAAGGCGATCTGAGGCTTTTGGGATTGTGGGTGTTTGGGGGTTGAGTTGAGTTGGTTTGAATATTGTGTTTAGTGGTTTAAATGGTTTGTTTGTTTAAGACAGTTTGTTGGTTCTTTTTATTTGTTTGTGGGTTTCGGATGGAGCTTTCACCCCCCCTTCGGCCCTTGGCTGTTTGTTTTCCTAAATCTGAAGTCCTTTCTGAGTGAGTGCCCAAATGTGAAGTCCTTTTAGTTCTTGAGTTCTGCTTTTGATACATTTAAGGTGACTTGGTGACCCCAAGAAATGTAGACATTTGATGTCATGATTGGTACAGTACCAGGACCATCCAATGGATGTCCTGGCTGGACTACCCTTAGGGATCTCCATTGGACACCCAGACAGGATGGTCCAGGTATGTGTTTTTGTTCGTCGCATTCGTATGTGTGACCGACTGAGACTGAGAGACAAGTGAACTTGATCGGTGCATGGGACGAAGTCGGTCTAATCGGTTTGTGAATCCAAAGTCCAATCGGTTTGTGACGAATTGGAGTGACATCCCATCCAATCACGAATCGAGTGACCCGTGGAGAAGCACACGGCAATCCAAATAGAGTTGGATAGAATTGGAAAAAACCATTTTTGGAGGAGCGTTTTGTCAGGTTTTTTCGTTGCTTGACCTTGGACCTTGAACCTGGGAATAAGGAATCAGTGGAGTCACTGTGAAACCAAAGTCGCCAGGAGTCCTTTTGACCGGCAGAAGACCGTAACACTGAGCGTGATTTAACGTGGCTCAGAGGGTAATTCACGTGCCCATGTATCAAACAAGAGTACCTTCACCGACACAGGAAAGCCAGAGGCTGGTAATTAGCTGACTTTTCCTGCTGCTTGAGAGTGCATCTTAGTCTTGCTTCAAGGTCCTTGTTTGAACATTTGCCCCCGTGTACAGTTTCGTCGCTGAATTCTTTCGGGGATGCAGTTTGAATTCAGTGGCTTTTTGTTGCCCGTCGGCATGCTAGAAGCATGCCGTACATGGAGCAGATCGCAAAATTGGAGTTCGGCTGGAGGGGCTGGTGCCACCATGTGCCACCCGTCTGACGTGCCACATGTCCTCGTCATGTGTCCCGGGCCTTGCGCTGTCCTCCCAAGGAACACGGAGTGAAGTGGGCCGTGTGGAGTGTCGATCTACAAGAGCGAGCAAAGATATTCCACTGTTTGTATCCAGAGGTCACAAGTGGCGAAATCGTTCCACCGATCGATTCGTGTTAGGTTCAATATGGTTCAATACAGGTCAGCTCACGCTTTGTCAATCACATGTCAACCATTTTTGGGCCAGCCATTTTAGTGAGTCATGAGCTGCTTGTCCCATTTAGTGTGCAATGTATCAAGCAGGATTGTTCCAGAGTTGAGTGATACATCGCTTGTGCAGATCAGATGCCTAAAGAAGTCCAAAGCAACAATGACTGTCAATGACATAAAATCTATAGATCGAATAAACAAGAATAAGTGCCTTTCCTGAACTTTCACACTCTAAAATTCTCACTTGTGGCAAGCTTGAAGGATCTATTGCGGCTTACATAGTACATCTTAAATGGGTCTCTCTCAAGACCCCAGCAGTCTACCTACCACAGCGCCCAGCACCGCACCTCCGTCGCCATGACGGCCGATGCATGGCGAGGGGCCTCGGTGGGGACGGTTGCGGACGCATGGCGGACGGAGGTCGGGTTGTTTGACGAAGACTGCCAGGTCGAAACGAACGAGACGGGAAGGACATGAAGGACGTGATGTGAGACATGGTTTTGGATCGGTCAAAACCACGGGAGCGACCGGTGACATGGGACACGACCGACCGGTCCACTAGGTCTGTCAACATTGTCAACCGGTCTGGTGCGACCCACCTTTTGCGTGCGCCTGGCGCTGTACCTAGCGCCAGGCATTTGATGGTGAAAGCTTGAGCACGTTTGCAGTTTCGCACGTATGATCGGCTTCTGGGTTCCAGCAACGCTTCACGATCTCTGAGGAGGTCGCACTGAACATGAACACGGGCAGATGAATGGCATCAACACTTCTGGAAACATCTGGGCACACCACCAACGTCAAACTCATATTGTTGTGAAGAGGATCAAAGCAATTAGGCCAAGCCTACTCTTGAGGATTGCAAATGAGATAAGGGTGCTGATACATGGATTCGGACAAGCTGACTGACTGAACCTGACATCAGCCTTTTTTTTTTTGCAACAAGCCATTGCCTTAATGACTGCATTGAGAGAGGTAGAAGATGGGCAACGATTTAAACGTGAAGTCGCCAGCAACAGTATTGACTCCGACATAGGTAGACAGGTGAAGCCACGTTAACATCGTACTGGAAACAGTGTCTAATTGCTCAAGCACCACCATACCTTGACAAGTGCATACCCAAATAGACAAACACATTAACACAAAAACAAAGAACACACTATGACATACTATGACTAGGCTTTCTTGAAAGAGGATAAAGAGGTGCCTTGAAGTGCTTCGCTCGGTGATGTTTGGTCCTTATGGTTTGTACAATGCTGCACAGTTGGCCATGCCGACGATGGGATGAGCGAATGATGGGATGAGCTCCAGCCTTCCAGTCGCCTTGCATGACTTGGAGGTTGGATTTTACAGAACGGCGCAGACTGAGAAACGACTTGGAATGTCATCTTCTGAGGACGATGGTACAGGAACTCAAGCAACACCGTGGGAACCCCTTGATGCGCGTCCTCGGCCAATTGACACGTCCAACGCGCGATGTCCTCGAAGGCCGCCATCGCCGCCGAGTCGGACAGCTCCCTGTTGCGCGCCTTGCGCCAGCGGCTGGTGGACAGGCGCGACCCGGTCGACCGGGGAAGAGACGGGGCGGCAGAAGGGACGAACGAGTGTCAGAACTGCAAGAACCTGGCAAGTGCAAAACTGGACATGGGGAAGATGGAAGATGGAATCATGTGTTCCCTTTATACTTATTCAGTCCGGGTTTGTTTGTAGCTGTTGAAGCCTTTCTTCGGGATCGGTTTCCCCAACAGGTGGAAGCATTGTTTTCAAGTGAGGAGGTCAGAGCAGATTTGGAAGGCAGGAATCCTTCACAGTGTCAGAAGCACAATATCTCACTACTGATAGGGTTGTGTAGGATTTCTTCGATCCATCGCAAAAGCTCAAAGAGGCTTGTGCTCTAGACGCACTTTGGAGTCATAGTGTAAGAACATGTGAGAAGGATCTAATCTAAAATGATCTAATAGAAGACGCAACAAATTTAGCACCTTGCGACATCTCTGGGAGCCACCTGGTCCATGAATCAAGACTCTTCCCAGCTCTATGATCAATCAAGCCAACCAACATAAAGCGTTCATGGTCAGTCAAGAAAAATACTGTACTGTAACAGTTTCGACAATGACACCCATAGGCAACACCCTGCCATCTTATTTGTGTCCATTGGAGTTGTTCTCACCTGCATGTAATCCCTTAATCCACTTCATCTTGGCAAACAATTTCTGGAAAGTCTATATGATATTTGCATACGAGCTTGTCCCAACTTCAAGCTTGGAATGGTGGAGCCCCCTCCACAAGTACGCACGTACGCAAGTTCCGTGAGTGAAGTACAAACATAGCTATGCACTTTCCAATGCACTTTCTGGAAACACCTGCGTATCCAACGAAAGCACATCCGATACGACAGACGGTGCGCACTCGACGTCGACGTCTCCAGACGGTCGACAGACGGTGGGCACGGACGACTCGACTCCTCCGAGCCTCCGATCCGGTGGATCGGCAGGCTGACGGCTCGGATCAATTCACTGGAAGCCTTTGAGGCCGGTGACCGATGGAGAAGAGGGACCTGGGTTGATTCCTACGCCCAAGATGAAAGGAATGGTTGTTCCTATGGCATTACGGCAATTGAGATCCTCTACATAACAAGTGATTTTTCGGGGAAACATCCATTAATTCATAGTAAGTCTGGTTGTTTGGGGTTCCAGGGATGAATGAAGGGGATGCTAGCGTGGTCACTTCTACCATAGACTGCATTGCGTAAAGGCCAGGTGGTTGATCAGGCAGCGCCCGAGTGATCAAGTCCCAGACGCATCTAGACACCCTGCTTTTCGCTGCTTTCAGCACACACCGCCTGACCAGGTCTGACCACTGTAGTCACTTCTTCAGCGAAGTACAGAATCCTCCCCTGAACACCTGAGCCATTCGATAAACCTCCGTGTTCATGTTTAATCAGTAAGGCAGCGTAAGCACAAGCGTAAGCCCAATGATACGACCTGGGATTTCAGAAACGCTCACCTGAAGAACCGATCTCGTCCGAAACCGATCCCTGACACGAATGGTCGAATCCCCCAGGCAAAGCCTCGGTGTCGATGAGGAGGCATTCCCACGCAAAGCCTTTCATATTCAAACCGTGTGATCTGTTTGGTTTGTTTATGTTTGTTCGGTCAGTGCTGGGGTGCCCGTTTGGTGTTTTGCAGCGGGTTCCGCCATGAAGCTGGACGGTGTATTCCCGAAGCTGGGTACGGGATGGAAAGCAGGACAGCGGAGCTCGATTCATCACCCTGCCACAGGTGTCATTGTTGCGACCCAGTGGAGATGCGAAGACGGTCACCGGCTGCTTGCCGGACGACACCTTAGAGACTTTGCGTGAGCGAGCCTCCAGGTGTGGTCGGTGGAGTAGTCGTGTTGCTGCCGGACCAACAGCAGTAGTTTGCTGCTACTGTATCTACTGCTACAGTCACTAGCACTCTGCAAACACTGATGACAAGAACAACTAATGAGTGCTAAGGCGTTCAAGACAATTGAAACTCACCCTGAGGAGGATGGATTGAGCATAGTCCAACATATCCAATGAATTTCTTGCTGAAGAGTTCTGTCCACTTCAGAGTTCCTGCCAGGGAGTTTGGGATCCCACGAGATGCCATCCTTCTCTGCAGAGGTTCCCGGCAATTTGCCAACCGAATCCTGGACGGAATGTTGGGCCATTTGGCAACCAAAGCTCTTTTGTGCCAGAGCTCTCTGGTCGTCATCTCCAAAGCTCTTTAGAAGAACGGTGTTCTTCACGGTGTTCTTTTGTGGCAGCCCGGCTTCTCTTCGGCATTCGTTCCACGGGCGAAGGACCACCCAGAATGACCACGGGCAAAACGATGGGAAATCCATGCGTTCGTCCTTCCACCGATGGAGCAGAAACAGACAGACATTGTTGGGTCGTGTGCTCACCGACTCGCTTCTTTCGAGCTCGACAGGAGGCGACAGGAGGCATCAACCAAGCGAGGGCACAGCAAAACGACCATTCTCACCTTCATCCAGCTTGCAGTTTGGGGTTTGTTCCAACCTGAGGGTATCTCACAATGTTCTGTTGGAAGGGCTGTTTGCCAGGTGCTAGGAGGGTTCAGTATGTTGAGATACGGTCATTTGGAGTTAGTTCGAAGCGTCCAGATAGAAGCACAGCTCGCTGCACACAAATTCAGCGAATCAATGATGAAGCAACAGTCGAACCGTTCGCTGGCCTAATAGGGTGGTGGTGAAATGTTATTTTTTGAGAACAAATGCTTGCTTCGCTCGCATGCAACTAGGAGATTTGCAAATGTCACTGGCTGACCTTGGCGTTGGTCCCTGGGACCAGGAGACTGTTGGGTGACCGGGGAACTGCGGTTGGTCATATGATATTCCCTTCAGGCTTCAGACCTAGTAACTACGACAGCGCTACTAGTAATAAAGGCATTACTAGTAACAAGAAGCTACTAGTAGCTATTTGCTACCAGTAGTAATGCCCTTGTTACTAGTAGCGGTGCACTTGTTACTAGTAGCTATGTTTCTTAACCGGTCCACACGTTTTACCTCCCTTTTAGACCCGGAAAGAGGACCTAGAATCGATGTATATACAGTATATACTGTATACACTATTATACACTTGTTGTCAACTTGTTGTCATTTTCTATCTTTTTGGACACCGTCTGTAGTCAGTCGAAACAGTCCCTCCCACAAGAAAGAACCACACCCAACCGCACACATGCACACACATACCCATGATTCATGATGATGAAATAGATTGCCCAACTCCTGCTACAATGATGACTATTCAGGCTTTCAGGAGTGTTGTGAAGGCCGAGTGCCTCTTGCTAGACTTATGTCATTCTCGTTTTGTTCACAGACTCGTTTGTCTCAAACACCTCAAATTCAATCAGTGTATCACACACTTTTCAAGAATTAAACGGGACATACTTCATGATCACAGTACATATGTAAACCCACTAGATATTCAGCAGCCACAACAAGTCAGGTGTAAGACCTTGAATGCCTTTTTACTTTCAACTAAGATCAACATCCAGGCCTTTAACAGTAACAGACCTGCCAAGAAGCTGAACCAATCAAAAGAACCACCAAGTTCACCATCAGGTCGTGGCGCTGAGTTCACCTGTCTTCGGGACGCCTTGTGCCGCAGGTGCCATCACTTGAGATGTATGCCAGCTAGGAGATCCAAAGATAACTTGTTGTGAAAGGATGGAGCTGGAGGTGGAAGTCAATCCCACAATATGCAAACTGTCCATTGTTCCCATAGGCTACCTATATGGTTACAAACAAATGCAAGCGAGCAAAAACAACTTCGATCAATTTGATCATGAGAGGTACTGGCGTTTTCGAATTGCTGAAGAAGCCTGCGAATGGGAAGCGCTGATTTACAACATTGCCCCTTGAACATGTCAGACAAACATCTTTGCCCAGGGAGTGAGGTTGTCATGGGAACTGTTGTATGGGAACTGCTGCATAAGGAACTCTACGACAAATTCAACAATGTCATCGAGTTTGACGGCAACTTGGGCAAATCTTGCTAGTTGGGCACTGTAGAAGCTCTGGACTCTAGATGTCTTGCAGAAAATCATGCAGTCCTTCGTGCCAAGGGATAGAAGCTGTTACATCCAATGGTGAGAGGAACAACATCAACCTTGCACGCAATGCCTTTGACGGGCACAACGAGACCTTCTGGGACTGGGTTGTGGGGGACGAACCAATCAGTTCACCCTGCTGTGGGGTCTTTCTTTTGAAGCGACTGGTCACAGGAATACTGTTTATACATGTTTATACCATTTGTATTCTTGCACTTGATTCACTTTGCATTATATATATTGTGCATAGAAAGAAAGTGTCAGATCCACTCGATGTTTTTTTGTGATTCTGATCTAGTATATAGTTCACTGAACGTACGACTGTACGACCTTTTCTTTTTGCATTTGGAGTGGTTTCTAATTCTACAGGGCCTTGAAAAACAAGCCAAGCCACCTTCAGCTACGGCAGTGTCCCGGCAGAATCCGACAAATTTTGTCTTCGTCTGAAGGAGACACTCTTTGGAAGTGAAAAGATTGGCACCTGGGTGACGTGCACCCTACGCAACTTGGCACCCTACGCGGGGCTGCAGCAGCTGCTACTGTTCAAGTTCAGATGTTTGTTCCATAAAAAACTGGCTTGACAAGAGGCCATGCCAGTCCCTCGTCATATCGAACGGTTGAGACATATCGAAGTCTTGACGGTTCAAAAGCATTTCCAAGCCTCCATCTTTGCACATCATTTGGATGAGTTGATGCCTGGAATCCCAATCAAGTGATTGCTGTTCAATGTTGGTCACCCGTAGCAGACGCAGTGATGTTATGATGTTGAAGACCTTAACTACCACAGCGGCTATCCAATCGCGGGATTGCCGCTTAAGCTTGGACTTGCACCTGAGGAGAGCCTGCCATCATTCGGAGGATTCGCGTGAGACAAGGCAATGCTGGCAATGCGATCCGAGCATTTGATGTGCTTTCTTCGGAGGACGCGGTCTCCAAAATGGAACTGTCTTGTGGTCGAATCACGCCCGTTCGTAGTACAGTAGGTAAGAGGGATGGTCATTCATTCTTGATGGGAACGTCTTACTGTAAATATGCTTTGAGCAGCATTGTTAAGGGGGACCATGGCACACATGAAGATTCGTTGTATAGTCCCCAGCTAAGACCTTGTCCACGCTAAAAGTTTGAAGAATCCGACCTGATTTGGCCACTCTGGGAATCGTCCAAGTGAGAACATCTTCGACCAGTTTGGATCACCGATCCACACCCAAGGAGCGAGCTTAGTCAGCTTAGCCGCACGAGGAAGATCTAAATCTTCGCCCGTTTTGGTGCCTGGAGTTCTTGGAGGAATATATCTATCTAAGCATTTACCCACATACATGCATACATCCATACATACATACATACATCCATACATACATACATCCATACATTCATACATCCATACATACATACATCCATACATAAATGCATACAAACATCCATACATACATCCATACAATCATACATACATCCATACATGCAACATGACAGAGCCCGTCCAGGGGCACAAGTGCTCCATGTAGCCCTCGAAAGGCTACTGCGACAAGAGGTGCATCGTGCAACTGGGCGATTTGGGGTGACCTGCCTTATGGACATGTCCACTTTCTACGACACCATCAACCTTCAGCGACTCCAGACTGAAGCCCTGCACTTGCAGTACCCTCCACTGATGCTTGAAATGGCTTTGCAAGTCTATCATGGCCCCAAGGCCATTGTTGCGGAGCAGGAGATGACGCCATTCTTCACCGTCACCCATGGAGTCCCAGCTGGATGCCCCCAGGCCCCACTGCTGGCCAAGGCAGTGCTCGCCCCAGCACTCCAACCATGGCAGCAAGCTCATCCCAACATCCACCTCTCCAGTTGGGTTGACGATGTGGGTTTTGACACCGCCAGCAAAACCCCAGTCCAGGCAGCGAGAGCCTCTGTGGACGCCTACCGAGACCTCCATGCAAGGCTCCAGCAACTCGGTCTTCAAGTCAATCCAAAGAAGACAGCATTTGTCACCACTGACAAGGCCACTGAACGAGAGCTCAGGGCATTGCTCACAGACAACGATCCCCAGATAGCGCCAGTCATGAGGGACTTAGGCATTGATCATCAGGCAGCCCGCAAGAGGAGGATCCCGGTGATGAAGCAGCGCATCAAAAAAGCACACCACAGGAAAATAAAGTTGAGGAGCCTCAAAATCCCAGCCCTCAAAATCCGGCTGCGCCTCCATCGGGGAGGCATTCAACCCGTTGCTCTGTGGGGTGTCGAAAGTCAAGGCCTTGCACCTCGATATCGAGCGGCACTGAGACACAGCATGGCAAAGCACTTGGGCCATCACACGGGCGGCCTTCTGGATGTCATCTATGATATCCATGCCAAGCGCTACATCGACCCTGCTGACCAGGTCATCATACAGCACATCAGAGCCCTCCATCACCTCATCCAAGCATGGCCACCTGACCAACTGCCTACTCTTGAACAAGCGTGGCAACTGACCAAACAGCAGCTGCAGGAGAAACAATACCCTTGGTACACTGTACGAGGACCCTTGGCAGCCACGATTGTCTACCTCCTGGAATGGGGATGGCAACCGAGAGACCTGCAGCATTGGCACCGGCCAGAAACCAAGCTGATGTTGGCAGAAGAGCTCCACCTACAGCAACCATGGTGGGCCATTGAGCGAACCCTCACTCGTGAAGCTCAACAGCAGCGCACAGCCAGACTGGCCAGTAAGCAACACTGCCAAGACTTGTTGACCGGACTGGATTGGCACACCTATAGGCAAGTGAGGAAGCGCCTCAAGCAACAACAACAGCACCACCTTGACACATGGGTCCAGGCGGCATTGCAGTACAGAGATGCGCACCAGATCAAGAACTGTCCGCAGTGCCAAGTCCCAGCCACGGCAAAACACATACTCTGGCTATGCAAATGGCACAAAACACAAAACCATGCACCCATGCCACCCGAGTGGATGGACCGCATTACGAGTCATGATGAAGAACGCTTGTGGGCCCATGGATGGATACCTCTTGAACCACAAGAAGCCAGAACTCAGCAACACCCACTCCAGGGACATGGCTGCTGGGCCGGCATGCAAGTCATCCCGCTCCAACAACACTGCGGCTGGGCATTCACTCTGGATGCCACTCCTTCCACCTATGACCAGCGCAGCCAGATGTGGATCTTCGGTCTCTGTGCCCACAACATGGCTCTGGGGCAGCTCAAGAAGCTGGGATCCATCACCGGGGTAGCAACAGGAGAACAAACCAAAGTCCGGGCGATTCTCACAGGATTGGTAGCCCTCACACACCACACGGCAGACCATGTCAAGGTCATTGTCCAGCTGGCATCCGTCTGGGAAGCCTGGCACCATGAAAAGCAACGGCACCCCTACCAAGACATCTTGAATGAAGTACCACCCCAGGACTTCAAACGCGTCACGGTGCTTTACATTAGCAAAAACACCAGGACACCGGACCAACCAGCCAATGAGCCGCAACTACGGCGAAGGCAAAGGGAAACAGCACTGGCAGCTTGGGAACGTGCCAAGACCCTGTACGACAGCAAACAGGAGGAATGGCAGGAAACCCTAGACCAAGATCACCAATTGATCTATGAGCATGCCGTCCAACGCCTCAGCAAAATCTTTGCTGACAGCCAGCACTATGTGCACCAAAAGGCTCCCAAGCACCAAGGCAAGCAAACGAAGCAATACAAAAAGGAGCTCATCAACCGCTGTCGACAGGCATGGGACGAAGAGCACCACCACTGGGAGCAACACCAAAGAAGCGGATACCAATGCCGCAACTCTGGCCTGCGCATGCACCAAGGCCTTACTGCTGCCATCTTGGAAACCAGGTTGGCCGAGACCTGCCCTCAGAAGGTGTTCCATGAAGCAGTCAACTCACCAGACACAGAGCAACAACTGCCCAGAAAACTCACCAGGATGCAGCAGATCAAGGCGCTGCTGGACAACCAACCAGAGCAGCCTACGCCAGGCCACCACCAACTGGCTGAAACCACTGGCTACCTGAAGTGTGTGGTGTGCAACCTCAACATCCACAAGCGGGTCAATGAAGAGGCATTCAAAACCTTCATCCACAGCACCTGCATCAACCAAGCCTATCAGGCTGAACACCAGGGACACCCAAGCCATGCACTCTGGCAAGTGGGCGAGCGAGTCAAATGTAAACAATGTGGCACTCAATGGAACTTGGATGGGCAACATCGCATCATTGCGACACAGGCCTTTCACAAGCCCTGTTGAGGAGGCGGTGGTAAACACACACCACCCATTAGCACCTTCTTTCCAAAGAAGCAAGACAGGTCAAGCAGCCAAAGCTCAGACTCTCTCCCAGCTGCTGCAGCAGCCACCACCGGTCCTACTCCCAAGCGGCTGCACTTCCCCACGGCCTTGGAGGAAGCAGAACAGGAGGCCCTCACTCACGGCATGTCAACACTGGCCATGACACCCAGCCAACCCGGTGACACAGCCGAGGACATAGCAGTCGACTACTTCTAGCAGAACCACCACGGTTCCTGCCGAAGGACAACTGAACTGGCCTGGAACTCCTGAGGCAAAAGGCCAGCATGTACCGGCCAAAAGGCCCAGATAAGCAACTCTAGGAAAAAAATCCATACATACATACATCCATACATAAATGCATACAAACATCCATACATACATCCATACAATCATACATACATGCATACATGCATACATCAATACATCCATACGTACATACGTACATACATACATACAAACATCCATACAGTACATACATACATCCAGACATTCATACATACATCCATACATACATCCATCCATACATACATACATCCATACATACATACATTCATACATACATCCATACATACATACATCCATGCATACATACATCAATACATACATACAAACATCCATACATACATCCATCCATATATTCATACATACATCCATACATACATACATCCATACA